TCATGGGCCGAAACACGCGGGCGTGATCACGTGAACCCTAATAATTCCCATTGTCACTGGCACCGCTTCGCTAATCTGTTCCCAACCTGATGCCCTAACAGATTTCGGCTCAGTCTGTTCTTTCGGTCTCAGCGATCGAAAAAGCATGAGCAGCTTTTGTTCAGGACAGACGACATGCCACCTCCGCCCTCCTTCCCGGAATTCGTTCACGCCGTTTGCCCTTTGGCTTCGCATTCACATTTTGTGAGGAGATGATGTTCAAAGTTTTCAGAATCAAGGGTCGCTATATTTGAGTCACGCGTGTTGTGTTCGGGCATGTGCACAAGCATCCCGACTTGCTGGAAAGAAAAGTTGTTGAACCACCCTCCCAGTCGAGGAGCCGGGATGCGCCGGGCGCCGGTAAGTGCGAGCGTCAAGGCTACAGCACACGCAAGGTGGGAGTGTGAAGCATCTAATTCAACGCGAGATTCCCCATGCATCCCTTCGGAAAAGAAAGCAGGACTGAGCTCTCAGTAAACATGTCAACCTGCTTATGACTTTTGGTTGAATTTTGATATTCAATGCTTCGGATGCTATATCACACAGAATGTGATGTACATTTGCGACTCCGCTTTATTTATCTCTCGTCAACAATTAAAGGCAGACCTGAAGGGAGCACACCGGCGTGGCCCGCCCACCCGACCATGCAGGAAGACACCAGCCCCCGAAGGGAGCCCAATGGGAGCCCAGCCAGGAGCCTGAAAGTGAGCCATGAAGGTGCCAAAGTTCCCTTGCCGCGACCCACCCGGTATGAAGGGAGCCAATGTTCCGTCGCCGTGGCCCGCAAAAAGGACGCACCCCGCGGCCACCGCGGCCACCGCGGCCCACCCGTGTTCTGAGGAGAAAACCCCAAATCGCACCTGTTTGGGGAGTTAATAACATTCGCAACGAAATGGCCTGCGGACGCCTGCGTGATGTGCTTGCTACCTTCGAAATTACCCAAACCCGAGGACCGGCGTCCTGGCAAAGAGAGCTGCCATCCTGACCCCTATAAGGAAATCAAGAAAGAAAGACTAAGCATGATTCCCTTCTCAGGTTTTACGTTTAGAGTAATCCCCTGAACGTCATGCTAGAGCGCGCAAACAAAAATCTAACTCTCGAATTCTTCTTCCCTTCGAACCATGGAATCGCTAGATCCTCAGTAGCTCGTGCGACTTGGAAAGATCCTGGGCTAACTTTTGAGCTTTTTCGGGGCCTTGCGAATAGACAGTAGAAGCACAGGACTTTCTTCAATTTCTTATACTTTTCTGGAGGGTGTCAATTGACTTGGGCGATGTCTCAAAGTGCATTTTTCTGCTCAGAGCGAAGACGTCTCGTAGATTACTTATTTTATTCAGCTCTGGTTGCTTTTGTCCCGTCCATTTTGCCGAAAGGTGGAGAATGTTGCGAGGACCTGTTGCTATTTTGCCTTTGTTTAGGCAACCTTGATAGCCCCCTGAATGCTCCTTGCTGTTCCATCACCATGCAGGGCAACCGTTGAAGTCACCATGTTTTCCAGGAAACTGCGATCATGGGTCACTACCAAAATGGTTCCGTCATATAAAAAAGAGCACATGTCCTGTAAGCGATATGAAGTGTATCCCCATCCAAGTCCTTGGTTGGATCGTCCAAAACCATAAATGTAGATTTGTGAGCCAAGGATAACGCCAATCAAAGTCTGTTCTTGTCTCCTCCTGGGATTGATCAAGCAGGACGTGTCACCTGATCGGAAAGTCTTTTAAGTATGCGACAACATGGGACACAACAACTGCCAGAGAGTCTTTCTAGGATCTAATTGAGTAAAGAATGTTTTGCTAGATGTGCCTTTTTTGAGTTTCCTGAACCCGGCTTTAGATCTCCAATTCACATGTTGAAAAAGGGTCGTCTTCCCTGCTCCAGTAGGACCTGTCATTCCAATACAGTCCTGTCGGGTAATGTTGGACGAGGACTTGATCTACATATGCTTTACATAACTGGCGTCTTTCAATTGCATGCCGTGTCGATTTATCCAGACTGTCCGCCTTCAACATTGCCATTTTCAGAGTTGTGATTTGCTTTCCGTGTCTTGCTCGATAATTTTTGCTAAAAATCAGCTGAGATTTGGTCTCCTCGTCCATGATCTTTTCAGGCCACTCCTGAGACTTGTTTCAGCGTCTAACATTTCCTCGATCTAGCCACAACATTACTAACGTTGTTTTGGAAAGAAGGCCCGGTGGTGGAAAATGCAAAAGAAAGCTTCCCCAATAGCTATTCATCTTTGCTCCAGCCTTTCAATAGTTGCCATATCTACATGGTTTGTCGTCTCATCGAAATAACATATCTGGTTCTGCAACAAGAGCTTGAGCCAGGGACCCGTCTGGCCTGTCCCCTGAAAGATTCCCAACTAGCCGGCGGAATCCCGACTCCTTCAAGAGTTTTTTCCGCCTGATAGTGGGTTGCCCCTTGTGTGACTCCACGTGCTCGAATGCTGTTGTATTGTGAGAAAATATGGGGTCTTGAGGCATACGAACTTATGTTCCCGTGTTGGACAAAACCCTCTCCATCGTCTGGCCCAACAGTTCCAGCGATCACCTTCACTTATGTTGATTTATGGGAACCATTTTCGTGGGAGAATGGGGAGCTGCCATAAAGGCCATTCTAACTTGACTTAAATTTAGGCTGCGTGCATCATGCCAAACCCGAGTTCATCATCGCCTAGCAAGGGGTAGCTTTTTGAGTTAAATAGTTGGTAATGCCACCATCCCTTCTTCTAGAGATCCCATCCCGAAGCTGACACGATTCCAAGCTAAATACGACGATTCATTTTGCCTTCTTTGGAAACATCTATGTTGGCTTGAAAGGCAACGGATTTGAACTCATCAAAAGAAGTTCCTGTCCCCAACACATTACCTCATTCCCATTTCTCATTCCCATGTTGATCGAGGAGTCTTAAATCAACAGCCACTCCTCGCCCATGCAAAGACCCCTTCTTCTGCAAGAAATGCCTCATCAGGAGCATGTTCGCACATAGCCATTTCGCCTGAGAAGGCCTAAAACCATCTGGTATAGCCTAGCTCGCTAGCTAGCTTGGCTTTTGCAGCACTTCGTCACATACCCGGGGCCTGCGGCGAGGGGGGATGGTGCAGGTCCGTCGCTTTGGGAGAGTTCTTCCGGGCCTTGGCCCCCTCGTCACCGATCTGGTTGTCTGCCAGGTCGATGCGGGTGACGGTGCGGTTCGTCCTGAGGATCTCGGCGAGGGCCTGGCGGGGCGGGGGGGATGGCGTGGGTCCGTCGGCCTGGGATCTCTGGGGGAGAGCACTCCCGGGCCTTGGCCCCCTCGTCACCGAGCCCTTTGCTTGTGAGCTTCAGGTCGGTGATGCTGCTGTTCGCCTCGAAGGCCTCTTTTACGGCCTGACAAGGACAAGGGGACGCCTCGAACTTGATTGTGCAAAAAAGACAGGCCCGTGGTGTTTAAGGTCTTCTCGAGCGAAACGCGCTGACAGTCTGATGTAGTCGTGTGCCTAGTTTGGTCTCGTGATGTGTTGCAAGCATCTCTTTGCACGGTTTGTGAGTCTGGGATGGTCAAGGGCTTCAAGTTCATGCTTGTTCGCCAGGTGGCTCGGGGTTCAATCGGGGAGGCCAACTACGGAGAAAACGTATTGCACTCAATCTCGCTTCAGAGGTCACGACTTGGTTTTCATGTAGCATGCCTGAAAACCCGCTGCAGAATGCCTGCTTCTTATCCTGCAGAACAGCACGACGATACCCCCAATCCCGGGTGTTAGGGAAGCCGCGAGCTGGGAGTTAGGGTTTCTGAGCTCCTCCTAGAAAAAGCCATCCAAGCCATCCAACCCATCCAAGGTCCGAGGTTCCGGGGCGACTCCCTGAACTTCAAGCTTCGGTGGGGCCATGATCCCTCTCCTGCCCATCAAGAAACAAAACATCCAACTCACGTCAACAGCACTGTGGATTTAGAGGCAGGCTGCGTTGCGTATCGAGCCTTGCGGAACTTTGCTGCGCATTATCACATCTACAATGCTTAGCCGCAGCCGCCTGTATCCCGCCAGCAGCCATCTCGCTCACGCCACCAGAACACCAACACCGGCGTGCAACTTCGTATGGATTCGCAGGGCTGGGTTCAGGGGACCTCTCAAGGCTAAACTGGCTTCTGCGATTTGTGAGTACAAACATCTGTACTTCAGCAGAGGCTCTTCAAAAAAAGACGGGGAGTTGCTACCGCTGTCTTGCTCAGATGCTTCATCCTGAATGTCCCTGAACCTGCCCTCATCACCGGCTTTACGGGGGCTCCCAGCCAAGCGGGAGCTAGACTTAGCAGCTCCTAGCAGTCAAACACCTCCCGCCTCCACCATCCGCAACAGGGATCAGCCGAGGCAGGGCAGCATCCAAGAGGATTTGACCAGGAGTTTCAACTTCGTAGCCGCACGCATGTACTACCATTACGTTTCGTTGGTGGAGCTGCATGGAGCTGCGGAGCGAAGCTGCACTGTAACGCGGTTTCGGGCTCGCGAGTGAAATCCCCTCGAAGCTCAAATATGCAGTACGCATTCAAAGCTGCCAGTGAAACTTGATGATTTGCATCTCTTCTGTCACTGAGTTAAGCCGTACAGTACTGCAGGTGCGCAGGAAATCGAGGCTGCAACATCCACGTACATGAATATGTAATGGTCTCAAGGGTACGAAATATACAGAAAGCACAGCTTGCCATTGCCCCCAACTTGTGAAAGACAGAACATGCAGCTCTGGTCGTTGCACAGTCGCTCATGTCCCTAAACATATTCGACCCGCGCAACAAACACACAACAGGGATGCCTTTGCCACAGCTATATGACTCACATGAGTTTTAGTGCTTGTCGAAGAGGCCTGGGCTGCGAGGGCCTGTAGCCGAACGCTATACATGTGGCCAAGATGTGCAGGCACATTTTGGATGTGGTTCGGCTCGCGGATCAGAGTCACTGACCACTACATGGTACTCTCCATGTGTATCATCTCATCGAAAGCCATATGGCACACTGCAGGTTCGCCTGATCGTCATCATCTGCCTCGCAGTCTGCAATTCCCAACGACCTGGAATTCAGCAGCTCTGCACGCTTCTGCAGCCCAAACACCACGTCGTTCGCCTCCAGCGGCTCAGCCTTGATCACATCCTCAGGCGAGAGCAAAGCAATGTTGTCGGTCCGCTTCGGGAGCAGCGAGCCCTCGCAAACGGTTGTCGGATAGGGGACTGGCGCAAAGCGGACATGGCAAGCTCGGCTGTGCTGGCATTTCAACATGGGAGCAATGACCTTTTCGGGCAAGCCGAAGTCACCGAGGACGAGTGTCGGAGTGTCTGCAAGGTCGCCCAGCCTCTCCAGGCAGCCACCCAAAGCGCGGTGCATAGGACCAGGCGGGTGCCTTGGCAGCTGCACGGTCAGGATTCGCAGCTTTCCATTGCCTTTCTTTAGGTCAAAGTGCGCGGGCAACACGACTTTCCTAAAGGCGTTCTCAAATGGCACTGGATCTGCATCAAGCGCCGTCAGTGTGAAGGCAGTCTCGTCATAGATGATGGCCTGCCCGTCATCGGTATCTGCATGGCAGCTGCTGTATGACGTCGCAAACCCTTTTGCGCTGACCTGATCAGCGATGTCGTGCAGCAACTGTCGCCAACATCCCTGCAGGCAGAGAATCATGTGCCTGCGTCTGCCGTTGGGCAGCAGCATCTCCTCAACAATCGTAACAATCTGCTTCTGCCTCTCTTCGGCACTCCAAGTAGTGATCCCTGAGCCATCCAACCCCTTTTCATCTGTCTGGATGCGTGGCACAAGGTTCATGTTCAGCACTTGCCAGGATGCCACATAGATGCAACCGAAGCCTGCCACTGACCCACAGCAAATCTTGGTTGCAATTGGCAGGTGGTCAGAAGGGAAATCCCACTGCGCACTTAGCGGTTTGGTGACTCTTGGGAAACTTCCCAGCCAGCTGATCACAGTCAGCTCCACGCACGCCTCCAGACCATTCCGGGCCTCTTGAAGGATTTCTTTCAGGAGTTGACCACGTGTGCCATCTTCGATGCCCCGAATGACGCGCCCGAGAATTTCTAGGGCTTCAGATGCAGCTGATGCCTGTACGTTTCCCTCCTTCAGCCGGCACTCCTCGTCAACTCTCTTCACGATCTCGATGCAACTTTGGCGTAAGACCGGCATGTCCTGAACCACATGATCCTCCAAGCAAAGATCCAACATGTTCTTCAAGGTCTCTGCATGAGCTGCAATCTGGGCCAGCTGGGCTACCCAATGGACAAAGATCGGCTGCAAGGCCTCCAACATGATGAGGTGTGACATGACGTGAATGTTTCGTTGCGCCAGGTACACAGACCTCTCCCAAAGGCGTTTAGCAAACTTCATGCAATTGGGAGTTGGGCCAGAATACTGCTTCAAGCCATCTTCCACCACAGCAAGAAGGTCAACCTCCTGCGTGACAGGCTTGACGCGGCCGTCCTGCACATAGCCAAAACGAATCACATTTGTAATCTCAAAGAAACGATCTGGCACCACTGGTTCCTTGAATAATGTAGTCTTGGCATAGACGCGAATAAATGCCGTCCGTACTTTGTTGCCATGACAGAGCGCCGTGGCTAACTTCACATTCGTGCTGCACTCCTTCTCTCCGCGATCCAACTCTGCAAGAGTCCAAGTCAGCTTCTTCTCATTCAATGGATCCTTTCCTGCCGTGAGGCCTTCCCAGTGCATGCCTGGATCTGTGCGAGGGAACTGTCGGAGAATCTTCTGCAACAGCGACGCTAGAACCAAGGAAGAGCTTTCTTTATCCTTTGCCGCCTCTGCAACAAGCACTACATACTCCTCCAAGTCCACGTCGCACGGGTAGAGCATGTTTTGGAACCGAAAGCTTCCCGCAGGAGCAACGTGGCTCTGCAGAGCAATGCTTCGCACTATTTTGCGTAGCTGGTCGCTCAGATCAGAGAAGCGGCGCTGTCGCAGGAGCTGCGAGCGCAAGCGTTCCAACTCGGCTTGTGCAATGTCTTTGAGCAGGCTTCGGGAATCAGCCTCGGGTTGTCTCTTCAAGACCGTGTCCGGTCCCAGCCTCCTGTCCAGGCCTAGGGCACCAAAGAAGCAAGAAATGATCCTACGCATCTCACGCTCCGCTTCATCTCCATGAATTTGCTGGGAGTCCCATGGTTCCAAGTGGATGCGGAGGACCCTGAAACTAGTGGCAGCAGACAGAGAAAGGGTAACGAGCCCCACTGTCGAGCGCAGCTCTGCACAATTACGGAAAATCTGGGGTGGTCCTGGGAGCAATTTGCTGTCCAAAGTGCGCTGCTGGCAGAGCTCATGAACCACCTGTGCCAAAATGGCTGGTGGCATGAGACCATCCATGTCAACATAAAGAGTTTTGCTGCCCCTTGGCAGTTCTGGCACAGCCGCATCTGGCAAACAGCAAGGCACGATGAACTCGTCCTCGAAGGCACGTTCCAAGATCAGCCCTTTCTGTAGCATGATCTCGAGCACAATCTCCATAATGATCCGTCTCTCTTCTGGGTTGAGGTCTTTGAAGTCTGTCGCCCACAGTTCTTCCAAGAGCTTCCGTGTGGCCAGACCGTCGGTCCAGAAGCGACGACGATCTTTCATGTGCGCAGCGCTTTCCTCCAGCTGCTTCTTATACTCTCTTGAATGCTCGAAGCGTCTCTCGCGAAAGAAACGGAAACTGATGACTCTTGTCAGTGCCACAGCCACCTTCCGAATATCTAACAAAACATGCCCCCGGAGCCTGTGATCCGCAATCCAGATAAGAATGCCCAAGCTGTGCAGCAAAGCAAGCAATTCGTCGACTTCCTTTCCGTGTATTCCTGTTGGCTTCATGCCTGCTAGAAGCGCCTGAACCTGTGACAGCTCAAGCAAAGTGCACGGAGCAATCCGCACGCGAATAATGTCGGCATTGCCGGTGAACCCCGAGTCTCCTTCGTCCTGATGCTCAGGCATCCAGACAGCCGGCTGCAACGCTTGCACTTCTTCCTCTTGCTTCGACACGAAGCCTCGTTCGTGGAGCGGACTCAGAAGCCTGCAATGTATGCCTCGTGGAACTTTAATCGTCTCACCACCCTGCACCTGTCTGACCGCCAGCTCGTGTTTGAGAACCAAGTTTGACCCAGCTGTAGCTGCGAGAAACTCCGCCTTTGAAGCCTCAACCTCGAAGCCACCAGCGAAATCAGTGAGTAGATCATGAGCCCGCAGCCATGCGACTGGATAATGTTTCGATTGCAAGCCCGCGTGTTTCACGTTCTCTGTCCCGCTCCCAGGCAGAACGAGCTCTGCTGTCAGCTGATGCAGTCGTTGCCGAAGGGGCTTTATGTAGTCCTCAGTCAGGGTACGCTTTGCGAAGTTTTCCACAGGAAAAATCCACTTGGACCTGCATGCGTCGACGCCGTGGATTGGGCCTTCTTGGAGCTGATCTTTCAACCTCGGGACCTTCTCCAGCAGCCCGTCTATGCGGCCATCCAATTCTTGCTCATTAAATCTTTTGCTTTCCCACTTTGTGCACACGATCATGACGGGTGGAGCCGCAGCAGCCCTTTGGGCTTCATCATGGTCCACAGCATAGTGGGCAACTGCCCACAGCCAGAATTGTAGGTCTTGCCAAGCAACTTCAAGGTCACGGCTGACATCGCAAAATACCAGGTAGATGCCCCTGCCGTGAAAATACAATAAGTTGCACTGAGAATAGTCCTCCTGGCCAGGAAAATCCCAGCATTGCAGTCTGGGTCTCCATGAACCACCTTCATCTCCGGGCCTGCCAATCTGCAAGACCCACTCGTCGTCCATCAAACGCATCCCCAAAGTCTCCTCAAGCCCTGGCTTCGGCAGCAACTTGTGCACCTTCTGATCGTCAGTCAAATCTGACACAGACCATGCTTTCATTGAACCAATGCTGTTCCAAATACGCGCGCCTGCTCCTGCGGCGACCGTTGCACCCTGCGCTACCTGTTGCTTTGCCTGACTGTGTGCCTTCTGCTGTGGCTTCGGCTCCTGCGCCCTCTGCGTTGCCAGAGGCGCCGCTGGGTGTGGTTGCTGGACTTGAGGCTGCGCCGTCTGCACAGTCACTTGTTGCTCAGGCTGGTGCCGGTCTGTTTTGAAAGCTCTTGCAGCACAGGCGGCAAAGATACTCTTGTTACAGCAATCCTGCCACGAAGAGTCAAGTTGCTCCTGTGCTTGCCCAGCCCATACTTCGACTCCATAGGTAGAATCTTCCTCGCCTTCATGTGGGATTTCACCCTTTAACCGCTTGAGAGTGCTGGTCTTTCCAGCCCGGCCTTTTCCGACGAAACATAATCGAACAACCAACAGTGGGGATTTGCCAGTGTGCTGCCAGCCCTCAAGTTTTTGCCGCTGTTGGTTCAAGAACTTCCGAGGGCCGCCGTCAACCCGCTCCTGGATGTGCAACACCCGCTCCACCAGCTCTTGAGCTTCCGCGCGGTTGCCGAGTTGCTCGTAAGCGTTCGCCAAGCTGGCGAGGGTATTTGCCATCTCGGGATGGTCAAATCCATACTGCATTTCTTTGATTCTCAGAGCTTTGGGCAAGATCTCCAAAGCCCCTTCTGGATCACCCAGGCGGCACAAGATGCTGCCCAAGTTGGTGAGGACAATGCCGATGTTGGGATGCTCTTCTCCAAATTCCGTCTGCATAATGCAGACAGATCGCTCTTGCGCCTCTCTCGCTTCCATGTATCTTCCCACGTGCATCAATGCATTCCCATAGTTACTAAGCACACTTCCACATTCAACAGAGTCACTCCCACTACTATTGCGGTAGATGTGCAAGGCTCTTTCTAGAAGTTGCAATTGCTTGCCATGGTCGCTCAACAGCCCATAGGACTTTGCCAGAGCAGCCAGGGTCCTGGCCACTGCAGGGTGATCTGGTCCGAGGTTCTGCTCGAAAACTTTGCGAGCCCGTTCTTGTGCCTCTATTCGTTTTTCAGCATCACTGAGCTGTTGGGCAAGAGTCATCAGAGCCCTGGCTGATTCCATGCTTTCGGCCCCAAAGCGAGGCTCCGTGAGCTCTAGCAGTCGAATGCCCAAGTGCTGCGCGCGCTGGCTCTGGCCTGTGTCTCCACACACACGCACCAACCTTTCCGCAGCTTCCAGCGCCGCATCAGTCTCCTCCCCGAGTTTGAGGGCAAGAGCATATGACAAATCACGGAGGGGAAGCTCGCACCACGCTTGGTGCTCTTGATTCCCAATATCATCTGCGGCCAAGTCTACCAACTGAATCGCCAACCTTGTTTTGTCCTCCTTCGCAGCATCCATCGCCATGGTTTCTGGAGAAGGATTCGTGAACTGGAAAGCATTCAAGCAAAGGTCCACATCATCAACCAATGAGCACCAGGGAACTATCTCGGGGCCCCTCGCACCACAAACAAGAAGATGCACCAACTCGGGCCTGCGTAAATACCCGAATGTCCAGCGACAAGCTTTTGACCGAAAATATGCCTTCGACAACTGTACGATCAGCAAGCCAAATTTTACCTTCTCCACTTCCTTCTGAGTTGCAACAAACCATCTTGGAAATTCGCCGGGGTGGCGACTCTGCCCGATGTCAGAGTACTTCGGGTTTGACCGGCCCACGGCTTCACCATCCACTACGCACAAACCCATCCCGAGGGAGCGATCTGTGCAGAAGGTGATTGGGCGGTACTCCTGTCCGAACTTAACCTCACCCTTATTGAGCATGTGAAGGCGGCGATTGGTCTCGACCCAATCAACGCTACAGATCTCGACAAAGAAGTCTGCGTCTTCCGCTCTGGTGGCAGCTTCGGCGTCACCTCTGGCCTTCCAACCGATTGGTTTCCACTGGCGAGTCAGATGTAGCCTGTCCATCCTCTGTGGATCGTGCAAGCTGAGTGCGTCAGCCACTTCGTAGTCTTGGTCCGGCGAGGCACCCGAAATCTCCAGTGCAATGCCCCGGTTGTTGTAGGCCTCCGCCAGACAAGGGTCTAGTTGGATGCTCCTGCTGAACAGCTCAATCGCCTCCAGGTGCTTCGACTCACACAAGTGCTTCCAGCCCTTCTGGTTGGCAGCGAGCGCGGCTACTTCTGCTGCCGCCTCCTCTCTCATTGAGTCCATTAGTATGCGCTCAAGCAGCAGTCGCGAAACTCAACAGAAGGGACCTCGGCGACTTCAACCAGCCTCCGTCCGGCCGGCAGCAGCTGCGTTCGCACCGATGCACGGCCATGCAGGTTCACACGTGAGAAATGTTTGCATGTTAGGGTTGTGTTCATTCATATGTCGATGCCTTGCGGCGATCTTTGAACTATGCTCGATTTGTCAAGAGAGTGGATGGACTACATCACACAGGCCGTTAGCTTATCGTTTTATGGTTTTGGGGAGTGTGACTTCAGGGTCAGGGCTTTAAGAGTTTGAGAAAAAGTTTAAGAATATGTTGGTCTTAGGCTGCTTTTTTGCCAACTGCCCAACTGACCGAGTGCGAGGTTTCGGTAGTACTTTTCTGGACGGGGCACGGCAAAAGGGGCTGCGTCACTCTGGAAAATGTACGAATACTGGGGGCTGCGCAGCATATAGCATCTAGCTCGGACTTGAGCATTGCCGAAAACCACGAAGCTTGAAGTTCAAGTTGGATCGAAGAGCTGAGCGGCTGTTTTTTCGGGCTCTGGCTTCTGGTCTTCGAGTGCTACCGGGGGGTGGGTTTGAGGTGTTTCATGTGCGGGCTAGGCGAGTTCAGGCAAGCGGGGCCCATGTTTACCCGCGGCATGATCCTTGAAGAGCGGTTCAGGCCAGGCATGTGGGGATCGAGGCGCCGGCTGCTGTTCGGCCGTCAGCGGCCAAGAAACTTTGGGCGTCTGCGGCCTGCGCCAGGTCTTGGCGATCGAGGTTAGGGTTTTGTACTTAGAACTTGATGTGTTTGATACCACCAAGCTAAAGGCTCCTGTGGTTAAATGTGTGGCTTGGAGAGTGGCGATGCTGACCTCATGTACAACGCAACTGTCGAAGGACGCAATCTGTGAGTGAATCATCTTCTCGTTGTTGAGGTACAGCAAATGGAATCAACAGTTTAGGCAAGGAAGTTGTGCTGGCTGCAAAGGGTCCGTGATCGTACTGCTCTCGGACGCGGCTGGTGCTTGTGGGACACCAGCGCAGCCCCAAATCCAAGTTACTCAGGGGACTTCTTGAAAAACAAGCCTGACCCATCGAATTTTACAACCTCCAGGAGCAAGTCTTTGCCCAATCCATCACGAAAACTTTCTCACTTGAACATTCACTTGAACTATCCACCGAGAAGCCGTGACCACATTCTGGCCATCTGCCTGCTCCCTGATTGCGAGCCACCTAAGTTCACAAATCGTTGTGAGACTTGCAGGTGTCGGGCCTTCTTGGGGTGTCAGGTGTGAGCTTTAAGTGCTGCCAGCGAGGCCCAAGGCTCCGGCAGTCGATTTCAGGAGGGTTTCAGGGATCGGTTGTCAGTTAAAGGGTGTAGAGCAGTTGAACCCTTGAAGTTGCGGACTCCCCAAGTGCACCGATTCGGTTTCTGTTCCTGTCATCTTCGAGCCTTAGGGCGAACACTGCTTGAAGGTTCATGGGTACTTATAAGTAAGGCTATGAGCAGGGCAATCTCGTGCTCATGACCCCTCATGGCCCCCAGCAATTTCAAAAGCACCCATAACCCGTTTTCGTAGGTACCGAGGACCGATGAGCCTTCAGTTAAGGGAGCCCCAAAGAAAACTCCAGATAAGAGGGGCCCCATATAAGGAAGCCTTATAGGAGGCCCTTAAAGGTCTTCGGGAGGCCCCGTTTCTGTGGAGTCCTCTTGTGACACTTCTGGCTTACATATTTCCATGGGGGTTTTGGGTCTGAGGCTTTTGGGGGTTCTTCTTGTTTAGGGTTTAGTAAGTCCTCTGATGTCAAACACCCGGCCCCTTGCAAGGAGTGCTGGGCCCACAAGTCCCTCCCGAATTTTCTGAACTTATGGGTTTAGGGTTCAGGGTTTAAGGCTAACCCAAACTATCTTGTACTTTATCGGAAAATCTCAGGTTAGGGCGGGGTGGGGACTGGGTTGATACTACGGGAGAAGGGAAATAAGTTATGCAAGCCTAGGGACGTAGATGCCTATTTCCGCACGCCCCTGTAGCCTCAAGCCCTGACCATTGTTTACGAGGCTACACGGTTCATGCGTAGTTGTCAAGCGAGGGCCATAACACACACACACACACACACACACACATACAAACACACACACTAACACACACACTAACACACACACTAACACACACACTAACACACACACTAACACACACACTAACACACACACTAACACACACACTAACACACACACTAACACACACACTAACACACACACCAACACACACACTAACACACACACACCAACACACACACTAACACACACACTAACACACACACTAACACACACACACACACACACACACTAACACACACAACCACATCACAAACCCGTAACACAAACAACAAAACACACACACACCACCCACACACACTAACACACACACACACACACACACACACACACACACACAACAGGCCACTAACACCACACACACACACACACACACTAACACACACACAAACAAACACACACTCACACACACAGACTAACACACACAGACTAACACACTAACACACACACTCACACACACAGACTAACACACACTCACACACACAGACTAACACACACAGACTAACACACTAACACACACACTCACACACACACACTAACACGCACACACACACACACACACTCACTAACACACACACACACACACACACTAACACACACTAACACACATAACACACAATAACACACACACTAACACACACAAACACACACCACACACACACACACACACACACACACCACACCACACCACACACACACACACACACACACACACACACACACACACACACACACACACACACACACACACACACACACACACACACACACACACACACACACACACACACACACACACACACACACACACACACACACACACACACACACACACACACACACACACACACACACACACACACACACACACACACACACACACACACACACACACACACACACACACACACACACACACCCGCCCTCACCCGCCCTCACCCCGCCCTCACCCCGCCCCCACCCGCCCTCACCCGCCCTCACGCACGCCCCCACTCGCTCTCACACCACCAGCAGCCCGCCCCCCATCTCTTTGCTTGCCCCCCGCCCTCACCCGCCCCCTCAGCGCTAGCCTCCCCCGCCATCTCCACCGCCTTCACCACCCTGCTTTCTTTTGTATTTGTTTGTAGAACAAGGTTCTATTGCTGTCCCAGCACGACCGCCCTCCATCTCTTCTGCTTTCCGAAAAAAAAGTTTGCAGAACAATGTTCTATTGCTGCCCCAGCACGACCACCCGCCAACCCCGCCCTCACCCGCCCTCACCCCGCCCCCACCCGCCCTCACGCGCGCCCCCACTCTCCCTCACCCCACCACCAGTCTCTGCTTCCCTCACCCGCCCCCGCCTCAGCGCTGGCGTAGAACAAGGTTCTATTGCTGTCCCAGCACGACCACCCGCCCATCTCCTGCCTAGCCCTCGTGAAGGCAAGCAGGTGATGGGCAGACAGCCCCGGGCCCACCATAGCAGCCCAAGGCCTGCAGAAGGTGCGCCAGGCCTTCTTTAATGTCGCTTGTTCGGCGCGGTCCAGCAGGGCTGAGCATGGTGCTTGGAGGTTGGCCCGCTGCTCACCGCGAGACAGGGAAAGGGTAGCCGACGGCCGGTGCCGGGAAAGCGCCAAGAACATCGCGAAGACCTGTTGCTCATCTCACTGAGCACCTGCCAGCCTGCCCTCGCGGGCGGGGCAGTTGGGAAGGCAGGGAGAAGAAATCCACGTTTTTTGTGTATTTTCCCAGGGAGTGGGACAGAGGAAACAATATGTGAAACATACGAAAAGAATACGAATGGGGCGTGAGGAGGGTGGGCTTCGGCAACAGCGCCGCGGTCTTGCCACTTTTCGACGGCCCAAGCAGGATTCCAGTGGCCGGGAGTTTCGGGAGAACTGGGTCCTTGGGCTGCTCGGCGTGGGAAACAGCTTCACCTTGCCCATTTTCTGCGAGTTTTCTTGCCCACACGGCCCACACGGACCGGTAACACTCGGAACAGCAACACATTGTTGTGCATTTTCCAAAAAACACAAAAAACACGAAATGTGAATACGAATTGAATACGAATATGTTTTTCAAAACCATTTTTTGAGAACTGTACTCAGTGTCGACGCACGTGCGCGAAATCAGATTCATTGACATAAAGAATTATGTTCCCCCCCCGCCCCACACCCAATGCTGGCCCAACGTTGTTTACCCTGAATGACAAGCTTGGATCCGACAAGTTTTGCATGTCACTCGCACGCTGCTACCTTTTGTTCTTGCTGCATGTCAGCTGGTCAATCAGCGGAGCCTAGGGCCTGACCGAGCGATGAGTTGTTCTTCGAAGCCCAAAAGCGTTGGCTGATGAGCACTGCGTATCAAGTAGGAGCTGCCGCTAGTTGGAGTGCAGTTAGGGTTCCACAAAGCGTCCAAACCGTTCAGGTCGCTAAACTTTTGTAGGCAAAGTTGGCTGGACACAAACATCACAGGCTCTCAACGCCCCCCTCTGCTCCACTTTCACTCACGGGTCAAGCAACAAGCAAAAGTAAAGCCGATCCAACAAACTTGTGAACACGCACAACCTGTTTGGGAATCCTGCCCCCGAAGGCATGCATGGAGGGGTGAAGGGAACGAGAGAGGTGGCGAACCAAGGTTGAAACTTTGAAACGGTGTGAAACGATGCTCATGGCGCCAGCGCTCGCAACATTCGTGGGCATCATCAGGTAGAGCTATCGGCGCACTTATCGAAAATGGCCATTTATCTTCATCATTTGAGCAGCCTGGCCAAAGCTCCGCCCTGCACCTAATTTGTGCCGCCTCAATCCGTCATCTCATCTTCATCGTGCAGTTCGGGGTACCACTCCCGACGCTCGTTTTCATTGGCTTCATCATCTTCTCGACGACGGGCTTTAGCCTGCACAGCACGCAGGCGTTCAAACAACACCCTCGACTCAGCGCAAAAAAAAAAAATCAACATATTGCAACTAATGCGTGCAGGCGCGCAGGCCTGCCTGGCTACTTTAAGATCTTAAGTACCAAGCGAAAACCGCCATTTCCAGGACCTCCCCGGCCCTGAACTTGGACAAGGGGCACGCAACCACCTTGCCCACAGAGCGAAGTAAGAGTTGAGTGCGACAAAGAGCAGCCCAACCACCCTGGGTCGCACAGGACAGCGGTATGCAATTGCGCACTCAGCAACCCAAGCATTGCATCCGACCAGTTTGCCCAAACATGTTCTGGTTCTGCAAGCGGGCAAGAAAATTGAGGGAATGCGCATCAACCGCCAGGCCGGAGGCGGTAGCACTTCGGCAACAAGAAACTGTCCCACGCCCTGCCCCACCCAGTCTGAACGTGAACGCTCTACTCGGAAACACCATGGTTACCATACCCAACTCAAAATCAGCCTTTTGACTTTGCAGAAGGCGTAACAGCCAGGCGAAGTTTGAGCATCATTGGCAAAAGATTCGGCAAGCAAGCCAACCATCGCAGCACAGCTACTCCACACACGGAATGCACGGTTCCGAATTGCTCATGAGCTGAAAACAAGTGGAGAAAAACTACCTTCGCAATTCCGCACGTGGAGAGCACAGCGGAAGGACAACATCAGCCGTGCGCTTGGCGTTCGCACAGCGTTCGCGCAGCGTTCACACGCGTTCGAAAGCGTTCATTTGTGATCACGATTTGCCAACCGTCGAGCCGTACTTGGGGAGCCCAGCCAAATCGTAGCGTTTTGGCACATTTGTTTGCATGTTTTTGGTCATGGTATGCCTCAAAAGTGCAGACAATCACGAGGATGAGGGCTCTGGAGGGCACCATCCTGGTGACTGTCGGCACTTTTGGAGTATGGTCAGTATGGTTGTTCAAACAGCGCAGACAGTCACGAGGACGAGGCGCCTGGGCGGCGCCATCCTGGTGACTGTCGACACTTTTGGAGTATGGCTGTTCAAAAAGCGCAGACAGTCACGAGGACGAGGTGCCTGGGCGGCGCCATCCTGGTGACTGTCGGCACTTTTGGAGTATGGTCAGTATGGTTGTTCAAAAAGCGCAGACAGTCACGAGGACGAGGCACCTTGGCGGCGCCATCCTGGTGACTGTCGGCACTTTTGGAGTATGGTTGTTCGAAAAGCGCAGACAGTCACGAGGACGAGGCACCTGGGCGGCGCCATCCTCGTGATTGTCGGCACTTTTGGAGTACGGTTGTCATTGTTCAAAAAAGCGCAGACAGTCACGAGGACGAGGCGCCTGGGGGGCGCCATCCTGGTGACGGTCGGTGCTTTTGGAGTATGGCTGTCAGTGTTCAAAAATTGCAGACAGTCACGAGGACGAGGCACCTGGGCGGCGCCATCCTGGTGACTGTCGGCACTTTTGGAGAATCGTTGTTCAAAAAGTGTAGACAGTCACGAGGATGAGGCACCTTGCAAGCGCCATATTCGTGACTGTCGTTATTTCTTCAAGCTAGTCTTTAAAAGTGCAGACAGTCACGAGGACGAGGCTTCGTTTTCAACAAGTGAAGACAGTCACGAGGATGAGCACCTGCGTGACGTCATCCTCGTGACTGCCGTCGATTTGTAGAGCTTCGTTTTCAACAAGTGCAGACAGTCACGAGGATGAACCACTTGAGCGGCGCCATCCTCGTGACTGTCGTCACTTTAAGGCTTCATTTTGAAAGAAGCCTACCCCGGTCCCCCCCAAAAAAACAAATGCGATGCTTTCATGTATTAGTTTCCGGCCTTTTGGGAATTACAAAGGTTAACAACAAACACCGCGGACCATGGAACAGAGACCTTGCATGGCTTAGCAGACTGCTTGCAAGGAAAGCTTAGCATGCATTGCTCTTACAATTGTTACACATGGGGAAGGGGGTTTAAGCCAGCGTGTTTCTTAGATGCTCTTGGCCCGTGGAACCTGCTCAAGAACCCGCTCCGGAACCCTTCCCCCCGTCGGCAAAAAAAAAGTCGCCCCAAGTTTCTTTGTTGTCATGGAGAGGAAGAGAAGTCACCCCGTGTTTCTTTGTTTCTGGGGTGGCTTATGGGGGTTTCTAAATCCCGACCCCCATCGTTTCTTGTAGTCCTTCGAACCCTGTAGAAGAAGAGAAGAGTATTGAATTGTTCTAGACGAGAAGAGCAGAGAAGTATTCTAATTCCACCCCCTTTCTTGTCGTTCTTCGAAGCTCGTAGAAGAAGAGAGAAATATCGCTCGCTGCGATGTCATGTCATTTGAGTTCAACCCAGAGCAGGATCGCTTCGCTGTTGGGCAAAAACACCACAATCCCGCGCGGACCTGCGCGGACCACGAAAAAACCTCGAGAAAGTAAGCGCGCACTTTTGGGAATCACAAAGGTTAACAAAGAAACAAATACCGCGGACCGTGGAACAGAGACCTTGCATAGCTTTCCAAACTTCTTGCAAGCATGCATCGCTGTTGCGCTTGTATACTTGTATACCACCAGGCTAAGCCACTGTGTGGGGGGAAGGGGGTTCTCGAGCCAGCGTGCTTCTCAGATTTTCTGAATTAACCTGTGGAACCTGCTCCGGCACCTGCTCCGGAACCGGCTCCGGAACCCGCGCTGGAACCTGTGCTCCGGAACCCGCTCCGGAACCGGCTCCGAAACCCGACCCAGAACCCAAGGGCTGGAGGCCTTCAGCTCATACCACAAACCACAGTTCGGATGTTCGTCGACATACGCCATAAAGTCTGGCCTTGGCTTGGCGCAGCCAATGTCCAAGACCATAGCGGACGGTATGAGAAGATGCGTTGTTTGACTTCATTCATCTCTTCAGTCTGGGACATCAAGCTGTCAGCCTTGGATACGAAGTGGCAGGATCAAGCGCTTTGCGGAATCGTGGTCGTGGAGACCGACGATTTTTTGGCCTCTGGAATGGCGGACCATGAAGAAAGGATGAGTCGCTTGCAGGAGCGCTTCTTCCGGCTCGGGAAGTACAAGCACTTGCAGGCCTGGAGGGCACATCCTTCAATGGGAGGCGAGTCAAGCAGTTCAAGAACGTCGAGCTCTCGCAGGGAGCAGGGAGCAGCGGCAGTGGCTGCGCCAGCCTTCATCAAGCGCCGACTGGAGCGCGAGAAGGCCTACTGTTCCATCATTTGGCGGAAACCCGCCAAGCTTCGACTTCGACCCTGGGGCAGAGGCTCAGTCGCTGAAAAAGGGCTTAGGGGATCTGCTGTGGCTTCGATGGCAGCATTGGCGCGGCTACCCTTGTCCTTGCCTTTCTATGACGTGCTCTTGCCCTTTTGCCCTTGCCTTTTCTTGTTCCTTTTGCGGCCCAAGCGTCTTCACCCTCCTCTTGCCAATCTGACTCAGTCCGAGTCCATGTTTCATTGCTACATTCGCCCCACTCACTGTTCTACGTCCAGTTTTCCGCGTTCTGCTCTTCGGCGACATGGGCGGCCCTTCCTTTTCTTGAAGAAGCGACGACTGCCGACGCCTTGTCCTTTTGCTCTTCTGCCCTTGCCGCCGCCTTTTCTGCGATGCAACTTTCGCCCCGCGAAACCTTCGCTGAAACCAAGCGCAGGACTCGTTGCAGCGCATCCAAAAACAATCTTCAAATGCATCCAGGAAGCCCTCGGCGCCATCTTCTTCGTCCTCGTGCCAGTGTCCATGATTGTGTTCGAGGGTACCTTCGTCGAGTGCCAGGAAACTTTTCCTCTCGGAACTTCCTGATGGAGCTAAAAGAGGATTGTCGACCGTGGTCTTGGCGGCACAGAACACTTCCAAGCAGACGTTCCGCAACTCGTCGACTCTGTAGTCCTGACGCATTCTGTTTTTGCACGCCGTCAGTGACGTAAGCACCTGTCTCTGATCCTGCGTGAGGCCGGACAGCGCGACAAACATCAATGCAACCAAGGTTGCTGATGGGCAAGGCTCTTGCACGCTGCTCCTTTAGTCGTTCGTTCACTCTCGTCAGCACATCTTCTCGAGAGATTGCCTGCTGTTCTTCTTGAGTAGGGAAAGGACACCGTCTCTTACTTGAGGATCTGTGGCGCTTGTCAGCGGTACGTAGGTGTCCATCCAGCATTCCATAGCCTCTGACAATCTTAAGACAATTATCTTGTCATCCAACGAGGCATGTCCATTCCTCCGCGCATCCATGAAGTGCTGGAAAGGGTGCAGGAAGACACTTGCTGCACCTTTCACGAAGAACGGCAGCAGACATCTCTTGAAGTATTTCACGCCATCATCCTTGTGTTTCAATTCATCTCTGTCAAGCAATCTCCTGTAGATGATTGCTTCACCTGCTAGCCGATTGTGTAACGCGGGTCCACGCTTTTCAGGTTCAAGCTCTGTGATATCGCACACGTCGTAAGACGGGCGGCACTTTGGTGGTGACTTGCTGGAAAGCTGAAAGCTGTTGGAGTTCTTCCACTGATCGTCCGCCGGCTGCCTGCACATCGCCTTCGTTCCCTTCGTAGTCATACTGGTCGTACGAAGAACTAGTCATGGCTTCGAAACAATTGGGCTGGATCGAGCTCTGGGACTTATCTCCTCCGGCTCCCGCTGCACAGGAAGAGCCTGCCGGGAACAATATCCCTGACTCTTCTGCTCAGGCAGACCTCTCCGGGTATTGCTCAGAAGTTCCGCTACCACGTTGAGATGCAATCTGCGCGTCAGGTGGCTAGGCACTCAGGTGTCTCTTTTACTTTAGTAGCACAGACTAGTAGCTCCTGTCTCCAGAACCTCGAGCCAAGCCACAACATGCCAGGTTATCTGAACTCCACAGTTCACTGGTCACATTTCAGGGAGGGGCGGAGGGGGAGCAGGGGGTTCAGCCTGCGCTGCTGCCTTGGCTTTGAATTGTCTTCCCACTTTCAATCCCTTTCACATTGACATGCCCTCCCCCTTGCGCAGCAGCCTCTGATCCTTTTACAATCTAAGCAGGCATTGCTTGGAGCTTTCAGTTGTCTTCGTCCGCATTCCGTTTCAAGCTTCGAGCGTCTGCGATCACCCTCCGTTTAGGCTAAGTTTAACTCTTGTCAGGCAGGAAGCAATCTGGACAGCCGGTCTTGAATCTAGAAGCTTCATGTTTCGGAACTGAGCGTATCTCAGGCCCGAGCCAGCCAATTGCTTGTTCGCGCTCAGATGTCCTAATAAATGTCTCAGCTGCGCAATTCTCCATGACGATGACCACCTGACAAACCAATCAGGCACACCACAGACTGTAGACAGCATTTACATGTTGGCACCGGACTCGCCCACAATGATTGACATGCACGGTCGATTCCGCACTCTTTGTGGAATTCACACATAATTTCTTGCCCTCGCGGCACAACAATGTTGGGATTTGCGAGTCCAAATCATCAAAGCTACCAGGAAGCCGAAGCACATCAGCACGTATAGGTCCAACCTGAACAGCCCACGGCCCAGACGTTGAGGTTTGCATTTGCAGAACAAACAAACCCAATGGCAAAGCTTGCACGTGATTTGTGCAGCTCTCGCACAAAGCCTGCACACAATCGGAAACCGGAAGTGCTTGGGACGCTGAGAGCGATTATGAACTCAAGCATACGCCGTCGTGTTGAATGGGAAGGCCTATTGAAAGAGTCGGCCAAGCAGCAGTTTGCCCATCTGCGACTTCCAAGTGGCTCCCAAACACGACAATTAAATACAAAGGCTGCTTCGAACTAGCCAGCTTTGGCCACCATGCTGCTACTGCTACAGGAAGCGAAACTACACATTTAATGAGTAGACATGATGCTCAACATCGTCGTGCTTTCGCACCGTATCATGCTAAGTTGGCAGGGACGTGTTCACCCGTACCAATACGACTAGAGCGACCAGCACTTCTAGTACTAGCGCAGGCCAGCTTCGAAGAAGAAAGCCCATCATACTACCCCACATTGTCCGGCAGAAGGACATGAAGCAAAGCAGCCTTACTGCCAGACTTTCCCAACTTTGAAAGCTAAAGAATCTCATGTAAAGGTTCCTGCCAGCCCCACCCCTCCCACCCTCAAAATCCCTTGCCCGACACGCCGCAGCCCCGAACTCAGCAAAGATGCCAAGTGTTGTACCCGATGGTTGGCACCTGACTAATGTCTTGGGTCACAGCCTTTAGAATCGTCGACACATTGAAACTTGAGCGCACGTGTTGGGGCCTTGAGTGCTTTCGAAGTAAAGCCCATTCTCAGGTAGCATGTTGGGAGGCGCACTGCATGCAGATTTGGAGGGCCTTGACACCTCTTATGCCGGGCTTCCATGTGGTCTCGTCCAACATGTCATTTGGGAAATGTACTGAAGCTGAACTGTGCACGTACCGGGGTGGTGCGAATGAACTTTAGAAGTGTGAAGCCCAGGGCGTCCTGCAATGAGGATTGACTGAGGGTGGCTGTCGCAAGGTGTGGTGAGATGTCAAGGCACCATCTGTGCAGCAATGTATTTGTACGCCACGGCGGTGAGCACGAGCGTCAAGGAAGAGCCTGATCTCAGCAGTCGCCCAGCCTCTTATCAACAACTTTACTCGGGCACCGTGCATGTTTGCCGTTCAAAGGATCTCTGTCAAGAAAGAGTATTGAATTTTTTCTACCCACCGGAAAGCTATAAGTTTCCTGGGTGACTGCCTTGCACCAAGACATCAAGAAGTATGCACCGATGCACGCCGTTTCCCAATGTGCGAGATGGAGTCCTCGGACTCCCGCTCCAATATGCAGTAGCGCTTGATCTGCTGGTCTGCATTGGTTCTACTATGGTCTATATAGTACTCTCGTCAACTTTTGCTTTGCATCCGTACAAGTCAAACCTTCTCATGGCAGATTCAATTCATCTGGATTCGACCCCTCCCTTCATCCAGATTTTGTGTGTTTATAGAGCAACCCATTCGTTCGCATTGTGCCAAAGTCTCCTGGCGCACAGGAAGTCATCTCACAAGAATCCAAGAGGAGAAGCAGCAAAAGAGGCAGTTGGACGAAATTAATACAAATCCAAGCCGGCACATGGCCTAGGAAGACTAGGCTAACTGTCCGAAGCCTGGAGCCAAGCGTACGCCAAGAGGCTTCCCCAAGACTTGGACTCATGCCAAGCTCCACGATACTATGCATCACAGGAATGCGAGATCACCAGGAAAATGCTTCGACACCAAAGGCAGGAAGCGCTTCCGCCCAAGCCGCAAGCCCGTCTCTGAAAGATGCTTAGGATAAATGGACGAGGGATATTACAGCACAAACCTTAGACTTTCAACTATGCTCACGGAGACTGGCTCCCAGTCCAACAGTCGTGGAGCTCAGGCGATCAGCGACCTTGTCAATGTTGATGCTGAGGGTACAAGCACTCCTCATGGAGAGTACAGGGGATCAACGATCATTGGTCGATGCAAAAAATTAAATGCATGGTGGAAACCGCTGTGCAACCCCTGCACTCGAACTGCCACAGGACGACCCCAATGACGAGTCTTCACTTCTGAAGTTACCCACATAGCCAGACACAGCTGAGGCTCATCCAAGCAATGGCAAACACCGGAAATATTATGTTCCACATGTAGAACCTGAAGCTGCACATGGGTTTCCATTTTTCCACTCTACGTTGCCAACGGCTGATGGTTCACACATGCTACGAATTGTTACCAGCGTAGCATCCAACATCAGAGCACATGTGGCCACATTCGCTGTGACCTCATTCAACCAGCTAGGGCAGGTAGGGCCGAGCACCGTGGCAGCTCTTCAATCCGGATATGAACGGAACCAGTCTGCCAAGCAGCTGATATTTGCGCTGCACGAAGACGCTGATCTTTACAATCGGAAAGCGGTGCCCCTGGCACAGGTGAAGTCGGCGGTCTCTGCTGAACTGAAGTGGAAAAACATCACTGGCCTGAGCACTCTGCTTTGCTCGGGTCCAGGAAGTCCTGGACTCTTGACAACCACCCCTACTATCCAAGCAGTGGGACCTTTAGAGCTTTCGCATGCATCAGAGTCTGACCAGCATAAATGCAGCCGAGGAGCTTCACGACCACCTTCTTAGGCTTGGTCCACGAGTTACCCAGGCTGAAGACACACAGGTTGACTCGTGACTGGAATTGTTCGTCGCCTGTGAGGCAGAGAAGCCCTCGAAGAAAACTATGCGGCAAGCGGCAAGATGTTTCATGGGAAATGCCAGCCCTGAGCCCAAACACAACCAGGTCAAGCGGTCCTGACCCACTTGCCATATTCTTCCTAGACCTCTTCTGTTTGCACAAAGATCCACAGCTGCTTCTGAGCGCGGTGCGAGAACGGATGAAGCGAAGCTGTTCTTGTAGTGCTTCTTTTTCTTTGCGCTCACATTGCCTCAAATGTCCGACAATATTTCCCGGTGCGTGGCTTCTGCTCAGAAATGACGAGAATTCAGAAAAGGATATGATGAGTATTCAATAAAAACCACGTTTTGGCTGCTGTACACCGGCAGCACCTTCGCATGTCGACAGCCAGCCCACAATACAACCTGGAAGGAAGTAGCGCCGACCATTTGCTCCTCAGTGACACACCAAGGCAAAGGGTCACCGACAGCTCCTGACTGTCGAAGGGGAATTCTTGCAGCTCGAACTTTTCGCCGAACTCACCGGAAATCACCTGGACTGGTTGAAAATGAGGCAAACAAACGGCAGCATACTTTCAGAAGGGAAGCTTCATCTTGGAAAGACTCTCAAGGAACAGTTCCAGCAGTTGACACGTCAAGCGTTGTTCCACACTTTTCTCAGTCCCACAATATTTTCAGGATCCGTGCATAAACCACAATATCTCCGGCGCAATCCTATATTCAAACCTGCACAGCTCGTCAATGCCACTGACATGCCGACAACAACTTTAATGCTCGACCAAGTTCATAGTATCAAACCGTGGGGGCCTGTCGGCCACAATCCAAACAGATCCACAAAACTTGCCTCGGCCTCCGGATGACAGGTGCCGGAACAAGATGAACAAGCATACCAAGATCTGGTCTCCTTCCCAACAACCTGACACCCCAGCCTACCGGACAGTTTGGTCGGCCTCCGGACTTCGGGCAGCGTTTCGGACCCCCTGGAACGCCCAAGCGAACTCAAGCGAAAGAGCCCTCAGCATTGCATTCCACAGCTGCGCCCGCGGAACCCCCTAACCTAAGACGCAGCAACCGCTTATTCACGGGCGGCCGACGAAACTAAAGCCGGAGCTTGGTCGCAACGCGTTTCAATGGCCGCTCGGCTTGCAGAGCTCACGCAGCTTCAGCCTCTGTTCATCATCCGCACCCTGCGTTAAAAGCACAGTCGGGCGCGGTGCAAGGGGATGGGCAGAGCAGCAGCAGCAGCAGCAGCAGCAGCAGCAGCAGCAGCAGCAGCAGCAGCAGCAGCAGCAGCAGCAGCAGCAGCAGCAGCAGCAGCAGCAGCAGCAGCAGCATCCAGTCGTAACGGCGAGGACACTTAAAACCTCTACTCATGGTCCAGGCCATTACGTCAGTAAGGAAGCAGACGCCGAGGAATGCCCCAGACCAATGCTTCCCTGAACATTCACAGCTGCCTTCAGCAAACTGCTCCCCAGCACGGCGCTACAGCGGCAGCCTACGACCCTTTGACTACGAACATGAATTTCAAGACAATTGTCGGATCTTGCAAGGCTGGACCTCATTGCACACCAGGCTGCCCACGAAAGCTGCACCTCTTCAACTTCACCGCCGGATGTTGCTTTGAGAACCAGCGAAGGACAATCATCTCTTGACAGCTCGTTCCGTAAATTCCTCAGTGTCTCATTGCGCGAATACGGAAGTGAGATTCTGCTGGTCCGACTACAAACTGCAGCCAAGAAGAAAAAACGCGATTTTGTTACGGACATTTTTGCCCATTTGTTATGGACATCTCTGTGTCCATCGAGCTATGTCAAGAAGAACAGGCGCCATTTTGTTGTGGACATTTTTGTGTTCGTCGAGCCTATGTTTGTGACGGGCGCGGGTCATGTACAGACTGGAAATCATGAAATAATAAAATAGAGAAATGCTTGCGAGAAAACTGAGAGAACAATTGCGAGAAAATTGCAAGCAGTTTCCGACCAGCAGAAAGAACATCGCAAGAAATCTGCAGGAAATTGGCCGGAATTTTGTGAGGAAATTGTGAGAAAATTGAGCGTTTCAGGCTCTTGTGCAATCGTTCTCTAAATTATCGCTAATTTCTCTTTTATTTCTTGCTTATTTCTCGCTAAGTTCTTGCTAATTTCTTGCTATTTCCCTTGGAAAACCATCGAACCCGAGAAAACAAGAGATTTTGGGACTAGACGGATCTTAGTGAGAGATTTGCAAGAAAATAATGAGAAACTAGCAAGAATGCAGAGAGAAAATTGCGAAATTAGAGGAGGCATTGTATAGATTAATTTAAAAGGACCCTTCAATTCTTGAAAAGCCTTTAAACTCCTTAAAATTTTGAGAGGCCTCTGGCTTTCAACATTTCAAGGATGTTAAGGAATGTAAAAGGCCACTTAGATACTTTAAAATCCGTAAAATCTTGAAAAAACAAACTATTTTGGTAAATGCCCGGCCCGTTTGAATTTTTAAAAATCCGTACATTCCTTCAAATCCTTGAAATTTTGAAACAAAATAGTTATTTTGGGAAACGGCCCGGCCCATTTAAATATTCTAATTATGGTTTCAGCACCTCTAGGGCTACAGCCTTCTAATCTTTAGAGCCCTCAAGGGTTTTAGGGTTCTGACCCTCAAGGGTTGCGGGTAATGCTTAAAGCTTAGACCCTATAGGGTTAAACCCTATAGAGCTAACCCCGTCAGGAATTTTGAGATCATCTCCGAAAAGCCCTCAGGCTTTGGATTGAAATTCAAAACTCGGGGCCCTGGATTCAAGATCCCGGGGAAACTTTTTCCTGGAACCTTGAATCTTGAATCTTGAATCCCGGAGTATTGAAGTTCAATCCGGAGCATTGAACTTCAATACTCCTTGTCCCTCATCGTGCTTGACCATTGAGGCCTTGAAATTTAAGTACGCTATGCACTCTAGAAACGTCTCTACTGGTGCAAAATAAACATACAAATAATCAACCAGATATAAATAAAGGAAGAAGGAAAATATAATCAACACGCTGGGGCAAAGAAAACAAATTACCAACAAAAAATAAATACGCAGTGCCAGAACAAGAAAAAACAAGACAAGCAGAAAAGTTGTGGATAACTGGGGGGGGTACCATATATATATATATATGTGAGATTGAGGTTTTCCTCTTGAAATATAGTAGGAAGCCGAGAAGCGAGGAAGCCAAGAATCCAAGAAGACACAAAACCAAAATTTTAAAAAAGAGCCAGAAATCCAAGAAGCCAGGATGCCAGGAAGCCACAAAGCTAAAAAGCCAAAAGAACAAAATGCCACGAAGCCGGGAAACACGAAGCCAGTAAGCCACACGGCCAAAAAGCCACGAAGCCAGGAAGCCGAGAAGCCAAAAAGCCAAGAAGCCGCAAAGCCAAGAAGCCGCAGAGCCAAGAAGCCAAAAAGCCACGAAGCCAGGAAGCCGAGAAGCCAAAAAGCCAAGAAGCCGGGAACCAGAAGCCGAGGAACCGTAGCCGACAGCCAGATCCTAGTTTTTTTCTTACAAAAGAAAATAGAGAAAATTAAGGTTCCCTATTAAAGAAAAGAGAAAATTAAGGTTTTGTCTGTGAAACTAGAACAAAATCCAGATTTTCCTACGAAATTTTTTCCTACAAAAATATAGGAAATTTGCGAAAAACAGAGAAAATTCAGGTTTTCCTCTTAAAATATAGAGAAAATGGAGTATTTCGTAGTAAAATGCAGAGCCAAGCCCTAAACCTTATTCAAAAAAAAACCCAAAAAAATCCCCCAAAAAAATGCACCTCCAGAAGAAGATAGCGTCATTTTGGGCATTTTTGTCCATATTGTTACGGACCTCTCTGTGTCCATCGAGCCTATGTCAAGAAGAACAGGCGCCATTTTGTTACGGACATTTTTGTGTTCGTCGAGCCTCTGTCAAGAAGAAAGGCACCATTTTGTTACGGACACGTTTGTCTTCGTCGAGCTTATGTCAAAAAGAAAAGGCGCCATTTTGTTACGGACATCTCGGTGTCCATCGAGCCTATGTCAAGAAGGAAACGCGCCATTTGGTTACGGACATGTTTGTATTCTTCGAGCCAAGGTCAAGAAGAAAAGGCGCCATTTTGTTACAGGCGGCTCTGTGGTCATCGAGCCTATATCAAGAAGAAGAGGCGCCATTGTGCTACGAACATCTCTGTAGATCGAGCCTATGTCAAGAAGAAGAGGCGCCATTTTGTTGCGGACATTTTTGTGCTCATCGAGCCTATGTGAAGAAGAAGAGGCGCCATTTTGTTACGGACACTTTTGTTTTCGTCGAGCCTATGTCAAGAAGAAGAGGCGCCATTTTGTTACGGACATCTTTGCGCTCGTCGTTCACAAAGGCGCTAGGAACACTGCTCATATGAAGAGGTTACCAGGTTGGGCCACACAAGTCTGGGTCCTGTTTTGGCTTGAAAGTTCACATGAAAGAAGAAGAAGAAGAAGAAGGAGCTGCCAAGGTGCTCAACTGACAATTTGCAGCGACCTCGCTTCATATCTTTGTCGAGATACTGGTCCCGCACCTTCTGCAAAACCTGGGACTTGGCAAAACTGGGAGACTCTGTTGGCTGACTCCGTCTTCCACCAGGATCTCTCAAGCGGCTCACAAACTGAATCCACACAAGCCCAACTCCTTTCTCAGCAAACTCCATATCCGCTTGGGTCACAAGAATTCTAGTCTATCTAGTGCTGGGTCGCATCCTAAACCTGCAAACATGTGTCCTGAGTTTGACCCCGATAACTTTCTCTCCTCGTCAGCACTTTCTTGGATGTCTTCTAGGTGCACGTCGGTCTTGGTTTGACCAAGCCTGGGCCAACCGGAGATTGGCAGCAAGACCAGCTAGCTGCTATACAACTTTACATGTTTCTGATGCTTCCAGCTGATGATACCCACACCTAGGTCCTAGGTTTGGTAGCAGAACTAGCGCACCGAAGCCAAAGCCTCAAGGATGAAATCTCCAAGACCTCAAGGCCAGCATAAACCAAATAAACTTGTAGGAACTCGGATTTGTTCATGTCTCCGCCTGGTACTGGGCAACCCAACAAAGGTTGAAATCGAAAGCTTGCACGAAAACACACTGCAGCCATCCATAGTTTAGAAGATTCCCAGAATATTGTTGGGATTGCTGTGCCTGGCTCAGCCTTCGATGTTGTGCAAAGAAACATATGGTAAGCCGAGCTATAGGAAAAAGGACGCATATTGGATGTCTCAATCTCCCTTAAAAGAAGCAATGCCAGCACCAGCACGATCACCCCTAAGGCTCTTGTAAAGCTTTTGATAGGGCCCCGAAGCCTGAGCATTGCAATTCTTCACCTGAAGGCCATGTTCCAACACCCCATAAGTCCTAAACTTTGGAAACCATAACCCTAGGCCCACCTACAATGAGCAGCCAATCTAAAGCATTCTTCGCGAATTTCCATACCATAACTTCCCCAAAGCCCACAATCCAACACTGAACGCTTGAAGAAGCTGACTCGAACAAGGTTAATGGTCTCTCCACCCCCGCCAAGATCGGGGACCAGCACAGCACACAAACAATTGCTACCGCCCACCTGTTCCCAGCTATCCACATGCAATGGCAAGCACTTGCCATCCCATCACGGCGACAGGAGTTCTAGCTAAAATGCATGCTAGTGTGGTCATACGTCTCTTCCACAAGAAACGATCACACACGAACAGGAGGGAGGGGCTGCACAACTTGCGCGAGTTTTCTGGCTTCATGTGGAAAGCACGCGATCATGCTTGAACGTTCCATGCTGCAACTGAATTGTCTACCACAGGCCGCTATGTACTGCTGCCATGGGAGCCGGCTGAAACGTCCATCTCGACCACATATATGCCCTTTCGGACTGTAGAAGTGCGAATCGACCAAGGTGCTTTATTTCGATGTTCGCCGGGTCTGGCACGACGTGCTTCTGAAGGAACTTGCAGCACTTCTCCATCTGCCGCAGCTGAATGCCAGCGCCACCCACACAGCACACAAAACATCACAAAACTTACAACCCAGAAACTGAAAACCCTCATGACTTCAGTACAAACAACCTATACCCAAGGGTATATCTTTTGGGTTCGCCATGTTTTTTCGACGTACCGAACATCACTGAGCGACTTAGCGACCGGACATGGTCGAGACCCGTTTCTCTGGAATGGCTTACGAATCCCTTCTAGCTTGCTCCGTGCTTGACAACTTTTTAGACGAGCTGCAAGCAAGCTCCGAAACAGCCAGCCTACCGACTGTTGCCATACGGATTTTCGCAAGTTCAACTCTGCCTCTTGATGGTACATGGGTACCGTACCCAGACCCCGGGGAGGCTGAAACTACTTCATGAAGGAAACTTCCCCTGCGACGATCCTAGCAAAACCGAAACAGCCGCCGCGAAACTCCTGACTGGCTGAAGGGACCTGCCTTTTCCCTCTCTTTGTTTGGATCCTCCTTAGCCAGGCTGCCAACAAGCACAGCCCATGCACCGACATGACTTTCAAAACTCATCACAGATATTGTTTCCGCTCTGACAGCAAAACTATCAACCGGAGGCTTCCAGGCAAACATGCATCGCTTAATGACTATCGGTTTTACAAGGCAAGTGACCGATAGCGCATTTTTGTCAAGCCTCGGTACCAAAGCCGCCCAGTTGCTTTTGGCTAGGGTTTTTGGGGATCTGCAAACAATGACCCAACATTTGCCTAGCACAGGGGGGTTATCTACAACGAACCCATCTCTTGCCCAAGCCACAGGATGTAGCATCTTCCAGTTTGGACAAGCAGCTTTCGCCGAGCTTGAAAGAATAAACGAGCCTGGAAGCTTTCCTCAAGCTGTTTGATCCTGGGATCTGCTTTGGAATGTGCAATCTGACATGCGAACTCTCCTTATTTTTCTCGTGCTGCACCTGTGAAATGAACTAACGGGAGCGGCTGCGTCAACTTGTCGACATTGACGCGCACCTCCATGACGTGCAGTGGGCAACCTCAGCTGTGCTGAATCTCAAAAAAGAAAATCCACAACAAGGCCCCACTTCACAATCAACTGGGCAGCAATTCTCATCGGCCCGCACCGGCTCATCTTCACTGCTACTGTCAGTGCCAGTGGAAGTGCCGTCATCGCGGAGCAGTTGCCGAGCCATGCTTGCAAACTGGCTTAGATGGGATCTTCGAATGGGGCCACCATAGCTGCAAGCAGTCATGAAACTCCAAGTTGTTACACCCGCTCACGCCACACGCATTATCTAGAAATGAACTTGTGTAGCATGGGGAACCACAACAAAATTTGCCTCGGCCCGGCACATAGAGACCACCCTAAAACCAACAGTGTGCGAGCATGAAAAGCCCGGAGGCACCTCTGGACTCACTCGGCCCGGAAAGCCGGTCATGCGCAAGCAACCACACTGATGGATGTAGCTCCGCCTGCAGTCCGACACGCGTTGGTGTGGCAGAACCTGCCGTGCCTCTTTTAGCTCGAAACCCTACAAAAGCCCCAAACCGAACTCCAAACTGAAGGTTCCAACCCACAAACCTCCGCCCCCGACCATTCAAAAGGTCACCGCCCACCTCTAAACTGCGTTGCTGTTCGGGATCCCAGATTGCCATAAGAAGGAAACAAGTATTGAAACAAGATTATCTACCTGGACAACGACCCTCTGAAACCGACCTTGGGGCGTCGCGTCGATGCACGGTTTCTGGACGGTCAATCCCCCAACACAAAGCTCCGACCAACTTCCAGCCGAAGCCCGTTCAAAAACTCCTCTCCCCGCCGCCCCCCCGCCTCGAAGGCCTTGATTATGGGCCGCGGCCAGTCGCAGCCACTAAGCTGACAAAGATGGCCATGCCGACAACGACCTTCGGGCTGCCAGGACTTCAATCTCGAAAGAACCTCTATATTCGAGAAGCAGCCGGAGTATGTAAAACTCAGCTTGCCACGCAAGAACGGACTCTGTAAGCATGCCCCATGGCGTTTGTGCTGTTGCAAGCACTCGCTGTTTCTGGCAACTTGCTCAGCGCATGACGTGTTGGCATTCGCCTTTGAAGATGATCTGGGCACGTGCAGAGCGGATGCTTCGACCTTGGAATAGCGTCTGAAGTTTGGCGCTGGAGCTTAGGGTTACGAAGTCTGGGAAATTCCATGTTGCGCCACTTGAGCTTTCAAGGGCTACACCCGCAAATCATAGTCGAGAAGCCCTCCTAACCCTTGAACCTAAAAGGAACAACCGACAAAAGAAAACTCAAGCGGAGCAACCTGTGGCCACGAAGCGCCTTGATTCAAAGAACACAACTTGGGGTCACGTGATTCATATCTCATAAGCAGATACCCGATCGAGATATGGGCCCAGCAACCTTTAATCGAGTGATCTTGTGACTCGGCAGATAGTGGAAGCATTTCGGTGACTTGCAGGGTCATTAAGTTGACAAGTGAAGATCAAGCAGATACACATAATAACACCTTTCAATTTTACAGCAGATAAATGGATGTTGAACGGCAGTGATCCGCCTCAACCCTTTGAACACGCAAGGCATGAGCAGATGCTTGTCCTATCGTTGCTTCACCAATTACAATGTCCTCCCATATTTCGGGGCTTCTTCACTTTAAACCCTTAAAGCCTTCCCATCAGCCCATATGATCCTACGAGTTCTGCTGTGCTGCTGGCGATACCTTTTGGGGTTCCCGGACCGGTTTTGGGTTTGGGGATGTACCTTCGGGGTATGGGATTGAGGACCGAGCCCCATGCTGCGGCTGAGGAATCAACTGACGGATGCCACAGCCTCCAGACTGCTCAGAGGTAAGGTCTTGGGGGTCTTGGCGAACAAGGACTTGACGTTCAAAGGCGCTGAAGACGCGTAGGCAAAGAAGGTTGAGAAGGGCTTGCCGCATGCGAGGTACCCATGACTCAGAGATGCTCGAGGCCCTGAATCCTCAAACCCTACACTCCCCTCAACGTCCCTGCAGGGCCTTCAGAACCCCCCAAACCGCCCCATGAAGTGCTGCCTCCAAAGCATCGCAAGCGAACCGGGCGCCTTGAGACCCCACTGAAAGACCCTTTCCGGGCTCCGTGGGGCTTCTGCACTTCTTAAGGCATATGACTTTTTGGGGGGCAAAGGAGTATGGAGACGGCCAGATAATCGACACTTTCCTAAGCATTCCTAGATACCGTATCCACGGCCAAACCCCATACGCTTCCCACAACCCCTGCATGGTGCTGTACATCTTATTCTTGAAGGTCAATCCTCCAAATTTCTCTGAGAAACTTTTCGAGAACATGCTCTTCTCCCAAGCCCTCCCAGGATCCTGTTCTTCGTTGCAAGAAACCGCTTACTGAGGAACTGCCTTCCAGGGACGAAATACGTAGATGCACTAAGACGTCGGAAAATAAGAAAGGGTTCTGGCATTCAGCAGGGTTCAATACGTTTGCCTCGCCGACTCGGCTGGCGAAGTTAACGCAGGCACGTACGTCACATCACATGGCATCGGCTCCGGTTGAGGATCTAATTACTGCTGTCTTGCAACTGAAGTTGCCTCGCAAACTTTGACGCCAACGATGCATCCGGCTTTTCCGCTCATCTCTCTCTCTCTCTCTCTCTCTCTCTCTCTCTCTCTCTAAACCGGCTGCGCAAAATCACGCCACGAAAGCACCCAATACATCGCGAGAATGAGGGCCGCGCCCCTTAACGGCAGCTTGCTTGCTAGGCACCAATCCACAAGGTCGCATGTTACTCGCATGTTCCAATCTTTTTCCCTGCGGATGTCAGCTGGTAAGTCCGTTAAGCTAGGGGCTGACCGATCGATCAGCTGTTTCTTCAAAAGCCAAGAGCGTTGGCTGCTGAGCCCTGCACATCAAGCAGGAGCGAGTTCTCTAGTTGGTGTGCGATTGTTTCCAATAAAGTGTCAAGCCGTTCGGGTCCCTCATGGGTCAAGGATGGTCAAGGGTCTCACAAAAGTAAGCGAAGGCCGATCGAACAAAATCTTGAACGCGAGCCGATGGGGGAACAAACCGAATTACATAAGGTCCTAAGGTTGAACCGATGCTCATGATGCCCGTGCTCGCAGGCATGCATGGGCATGATCAGCATACTTGGGGCGTCCCCCTGAAGATGGCAGTTGGTGCTCTGCTTAAATGAAGATTCTAGTCCAGAGTGCACATCATGAGCATCATGTGGGTGTCACCCGCACAAATCAAGCACAGTGCCATCAGCAGGGTCGCCTCGGGCAGCGCAGTGGCTGCGCTGAACGAAATTTAGGTCTTCAGTGATTTGGGAACTGCGGGCTGCGCTTGTGACATGGCCCACCCCCGGTGTGGGCGTGAATAACTCGTGAGTCTTGGTGTGGGGTCAAAAGGCTTCTTTGGGTTAAGGATTTTGGTAAGGTCGCTGGCTGCGTCAGCAGACTTTCGAAGCTTCACAACTTTGGGGGTTTCGTCATTTCCCAGTTCATGGGTATAGACTATGTTTTTGCTATTGGCCTGAGCCCTAAGCCTTGAACCCTAAACCCTAAACCCTAAACCCGAAGCCCTAAGCCCTAAGCCCTGAGCCCTACCCGAAGCCCTAAGCCCTAAGCCCTCAGCCCTAAGCCCTCAAGCCGAAGCCCTAAACCCTAAACCCTGTTTCGGTTTCTTCGGTTTAAGGTTTAGAGTTTTCCCTGAAACCCTCCTGCCTCTATACCCTTAAATACACAAGACAGCTCACGCCCCAAGCTCTCCTCTTGGCAAACCTCAACAATGTCCTGCAAGCCCAAATTCCTGAATTCTACTTTGACTCTGTCGAATTCAGAGTTTAGGCTTTCGAGTTCACGGTTGAGGCTTCACCGTTATGCCCAATTACCCTGAACCATACACCACACACTGCAAGCCCGAAGCTATAACACTGAAGTAAACTGAACTGGCTAATTCGCTGTAAATACCAACATTTCCATACAAGCGGACAGCCTTGAGCCCTTGCTTGTCTACTCGTCCAGAAACGTGTAACCTGAGGCTTTCAAAACTTAACGTCTCACGAAACCTGTCTTAACATGCAAATTCGCTGTAAATACCAGTATTTCCGAAAAAAAGACTTCTCCAATAAAGCGAATTCTGAAACTCCAAAAATCGTGAATGCACGAAAACACTGCTATTTACAGTGAACTCGGCCGAAATTATCAAAACCCTCGGTAAAAACGGGGTTTTCGGACATGCGCTACGGAGCACCCAAGCACGGAAACATTAAAAGGTTTTAGACTTGAAACCCCTCAACACAATGTGGTTTTTTGGCGGGATCGTTGACCGCGCCGTAACCTTCTTTTAGGATACTGGTTGAGAATCGTGCAAAAACATGGGGGGGGGTACAGGATAATATGAGGTCTGGGGCCAGCTCTGCTTGCTGTTAGGGTGATAAGGGGCGTTCGCGAAGCAACGCGCTGCCACCATGAACAATCCCCACGCCCGATGAGACTCGCTGTCTAGTTGTCATCTCTGCATGGCTTCTCATGGGTTCACAAAGAGATCCCTTCGACTCCAGAGACTCGTCCTACCTCCACAGCCCACCAAAGAGCGGGGTCCGCCATTGACTGCCTGAATTAGGGAGTATTCCAGAAATTGTAAAGGAGATCTGGTGTGATTGAAGGGCTTGCTAGCGGAGAGTAATTCCTTGAATTGCTGACGGGGGCCCGCTGGCGGGGCCTTGGCAGCAAGGTCCACGAGGCCCGCCACCTATCCTCAATAATGCATTTGCTTTTGCAATTGTTGCTCATTGACGTTTCGGGGCATGGCAGGATCTTCCTTAGATTGTATTCGGGCCCCGTGGACACAAATTCAAGGAACATATTGTTGCCAGGAAATTTCTGGGCACAGCGGGGTCCACTGGCAGGACCCGCTGTCCGAGCCCTTTGTAAGAAGAATCCTCAAACTGTAATGTTGACTAAGGCAGATTGCATAAAGATTTTGGGCCGCCAGCGGGCTGAGGCTCCCTGGCTAGTAAAGCAACATTTCGGGCTGAGCCTCCCTGGCCTGCTTATAGTAACGCGACATTTCGGGTACGATTGCCCACCTGAGCCTCCCTCGCCTGCTTACTATTTGAGATAGCTGAGAAAGACAGAGATAGGAGAGATAAAAAAAGAGATAAAACAGAACTAGGTGATAGGAAACGTTTTCTAATTTTGTTATTTTATCTCTTTCTTTATTTCCTTTTGTATCTTCCTTGTCTTTTTATTTATTTTTCCGAGAACTTTTCTGAAGCAAAACGGCGAGAATTCCATGATCGCTCAGATGTCGAAATATCACCTCGAACTGGAGGCTAATACTGCTCTCCATATAGATGTAAATGGTTGCAAGGTGAGCGAGGCGGGCTATTTTTTCTCGACGCGCAGCTTGCGGTTTGTTTTGGGCTGAGGGGAGGAGAGAAGAGCAGCTCGGTTTAGGGGGGACAGGATGAGCGTTGCTCTTCTCCTCTTCGAAGTTCGTGCCAGCGGCAGCCTGGAGGTCGGCTAGGCGAGGGCTCGCAGGGAAGGCTTGGGCTTGAGCTGCAGGCTAGGAGGGTCCATTTTGAGCCAGTGGTTCGGTGATTTCAGGCAACAGTTCGGCACAGTTGCCCGCGGAGCCTAGCGTTGCCTCTTGAGGCGACATTTTGGTACAGTTGTTTATCTGAGCCCGCCTGCCTGCTCATTGCCTGTGGTCACACTCCGGTACAGTTGCTCGCCTGAGCCTGCCTGGCCTGCGAATTTGTGTGGCCACATTCCGGCACGGTTGCTCAGGCACAACCTCTCATCCTTGGAATAGTTGCGTTATAGTGTGTGTGCGTGTGTGTGACATTCCGGTGCAGTTGCCAGTCTGGTCAGCTTTTTTACAGCTGCCCGCCCTGAGCCTCCCTGGCCTGCTGTTGTGTGTGTGTGTGTGGCCACATTCCGGTATAGTTGCCCGCCGGAGACTGCCTGGCCTGCTTATTGTGTGTGGCCACATGGAGGTACAGTTGTTCAAGCTTTCCGGCCTGCTATTCCGCGTGGCCACATTCCGGTACAGTTGCCTGCCTGAGCCTGCATGGCCTGCTTATTGCGCGCGGCCACACGCCGGCACGATTGCCTGCCTGAGCCTGCCTGGCCTGCCTGGCCTGCTTATTTTGTGTGTGGCCAGACGTCGGTATACAGTTGGTCGCATGAGCCTTTCCGGCCTGCTATTGCGCGTGGCCCGTTGCGTGGCAACATTCCGGCACAGTTGCCCGCCTGAGCCTGCCTGGACTACTTATTGTCTGTGGCCACATGACGGTACTCCAAATCTGAGATCTTATTATCTGACATTACAGACTATCCCATTATTTCCTTGGGCTTTCTTGATTACAGCTTTCATGCTCTTATTAACATTACCAATCTTTTCTGGTAAGTCCACCACCCAAACATGTTAAATGAAGCCGATTCCGTTCGCACCCCCATGGGAAAACCAATGAAACCCCACCTCCGCTTGGCACTGAATCTTCGCTCGCGCCCCCTGCAAGGCCTGATCGGATGGTTCCGTGATTGCCCGGGCAGCCAGGGGCTCAGGGAGTCAGGGGGAACGCTAGATTCGAGGGTCCCAAGACGAAGTCTCATGAGGCTTCGGGTCTCTGGCTCTAAAAGTCTCCGGCAGAGAGCTCTATAGACGAATGGCCAGAAGGGCAGAGCATCTCGCGGCAGGCGTGTGGCTCCGAGTTCCGCACCTGTCTGCAGTGGGCGGCGCGCTGCGAAGTTTGGCCCTGGTAGCCTGCCGCGCCACACAAAGCTGGGAATCAAAGGGAGAAAGCATTCCCTTCTTTGCAGCGAAGCCTCCTGGCTGTCAGCTTCGGACGGCGCTTGAGGTCGCAGCCCGCTGCCATCAGTCTCCTGCCGGCTCCGAAACAGCATCTTCAGCAGGTATCTTCCTCTCCAAGTGCCTGTGTCTCGTGCCGAACGCTCCCAGGCCCAGCACACAACCCAGCTTCCAGGGCCTGGTCAATCGCGGGGCCTGGTCAGCAAAATATGCAGGAGTGGGACACCTCCGAGGGCTATGCTGGTGTTGACAGCGTCGACCGCAGCTAGATTACCAGGATCCCTGTGAACGGAGTCGTCTAGCCCGAGCTCCCCAACATGCGCTGCATCTAGCTGCTATCCCGGGCCTGGCGGCAAATCTTGCGAGCAGGGCATTAAATTTGCCACCACAAGGCTGCAACATAGCGTAGCAGAGTCGCACCACACCCAGGGCAACACAAAGGACGCGCCTGTAGCGCAGAAGATCCACGTGCCGCTGCAGGCCAGAGAGGACTTCGTCGGCTTCCAGCGCTCTGACCTGCCCATGCTGAGAATGCAGGCCAAAGCACAAAACTTTGCAAAACCCGGCAGAGCACTTGACTTCCGAGCGGCTGGCGACAGAGACGCGATGCTGTCGATCCGCTTCGGGAGCCACGACGCCTGACCACGGGCACTGCTGAAGCATTCCCCGAAACGACAAAGCCATGTTTTGCACATGACAGCCATGATGCTGCTACGTGTTGCCACATGTTGCATCATGTTGCCACTTGCCGCCATGCTGCATTGCAGATGCTGGTCGGGTACGGGATCTCTGCAAAGCGCACATCCATCAACTGGCCCGTTTGTCTGAGCAGTGGGCCGATCGCCTGGCGAGCCGTGTCACGCCAAAGGGCATCATCGAGACTCCTATGCTTGCTGGCGACATGAGGTCCAGCTTCTGACTGCCGGCCTCCTCAGGGAAGTTCAGGTCGCCGGCCAGCAGAGTGGGGACGGAGCCGCAGTCGTCTTTGACGAGGCCGGCGAGGCAGTCGCAGAACTCCCGCCGCGCGGGACCGTAGGGCTGGCCCGGGAGGTGCCTAGATTAACAGGCCGCCCCAAGAGCATTCGCCTCGGTACCCTTGCCGAGGCGGCCTCGCGTTAGCGGTAAAATTACACTTCCGCAGCACGGCAATAACCGGTCGCACGAAATGTCCATGCCAAGCTGCGTGGTGATGACCCGGAGCTGGCCATCATCGCCCGCTTCTCCGAGCCAGTGAAAGAGGGCCACGGCCACCTGGCTGGTGCAGCAATCACCTACGTTCTTCTTGCGAAGGGGGTGGGCTGGGATGCTGACCCGTCAGGATGAAATTCAAGCCTGAATATGAACTTTATGAGAACCTGCAAAGAGGCATCAGCTATTTTGATTCCTACTGACGCAACACCCCCTTCCCCTCGCTGCGGTAGCAGAAACTTCAAGAAAAAACTGCTGCGAGGTGTCGAGGCCTTCAGCCAACTTTTGCAACTTGCGGTAAACTGGCCCTGCAGGCCATGATCCTAGAACCCAGGAAACCTGACTGCCAATCTGGCGTCCTGCAAGAGCGGACTGAAATGTGCCAGTGTAGGGACACGAGCAAAGTCTGAAATTTCGAGGGTCTCCCCGCCCCAGGTTGTCCAACAAACCTGACTCAAAGCTTGACGTGAAATATGTCAGACCTCACCCCCCCCCCCTAGCCCCCATTTCTAAGCACGAAGACTTTGCTGAATGCACGTGAATGCACATGCTGACTCGATTTCTTCACCCAGTCAAGCAAAAGGCCCAGTGGCCTTCTTCGTGTCCGACGGGTATGGGCAGCACCGGAAGTCATGGAGCTCGAGCAAGGTCTTGTCGTAGATGATTGCCTTTGCCACACGCACATGGCTCACAGTTCTTCACGTTTTACGCTGTGGGGATTGGGATGGTGTATGGGAATATATAATGCCCATGGTCAACCCCCCCATCATTCAATCGCACCCTCTTCCCAGCCTCCTGGCTCTTCTGGCTCCTGTCCGCACCTGTGCGTAGTATGCCATAGCCCACCGCAAGCAGCTCCTTCTCTAGTAGATTCTGGTGGGCGGGTCCGGAGGGTGAAGGTTAAGATACCTCTAAGCCTTTAATCTAGATTCTTTACATCCTGCAGTTTAGGAGTCACAGTATGTGTATTTCAATACTCACAAACTTACTTCTGATATATGCGTTTTATGTGAGTTTGTACTTAATCTTGGCTGGGTCCTTCTCCGCGTCCACAATCTCCTGGGCCCTCTGCTCGGCACTTATTTGCTGCATTCGGGAGCCCCTGAGGCCCTGCAAGTCTTCCTCGATGAACTTCATGTAGTGCCTGTCCGGCAGCTTGAAGTCTTGCTCATGATCTGAAAAACTCTAAAAACGTTGACGTCTACGGTGCCGTGATGTATCACCATCACCCAACAAATTCTGAGTGATGCTGGGCTTTCAGAAGCAACGTCTCAGATGGTCTCAGTTTCAAGTCGCAAGCGAAATTTCAAGAACAAATATGAAGTTATGTGACAGTATATACGCGTGGCCGCTTGGGGCGGGCACTATTAGTTCCGGCCTTTTCCCTCATCCGCACCCTTTCTTACGCGAGTCAAGTTTAAGCCCGAATCCACCGCCACTCCACCTTCCCTCTCCCAATTACTGGACGACTGCTGCAGGGCTGGCCTACTCAATTCGATCAGCTGTTAGAGAAAGAGAGAGAGAGAGAGAGAGAGAGAGAGAGAGAGAGGGAGGGAGGGAGGGAGGGAGGGAGAGAGGGAGAGGGAGAGGGAGAGAGAGAGCGAGAGAATACGAATCGGAGAGGAACACCGACAGACAGGCAAGCGGATAGACAATAGACGGTTGCAGGAAAGAAGCTACGTCCTAGCCCTGCGAGCAAACCGGTAGCCTCAGTCCTCAAAATAGATAGGCTAGCACGATCTAGCACGCCTTGGCAGACACCCCATTGAATGCTAATGATTAATCGCTGGCGTTCGTTTTCGGGAGGTTGAGGGGTCGGGGTTAGTAAGGATCCCCAAGAATTCCTTGCGGAATGATTTCGGCAGCACAGGCAGCCAGGGCAGTCAACGCAAACACTCCAGGGCTTAGGTTTTAGGGTTTAGGGTTTAGGGTTATACGAACCCATGTGCTCAAAGATGAACCCTGAACCCCACAGTTGCCCGCACGCAAGCTGCTCAACAATGCAGGACAGCAGCGTGGCCTGGCGCATCCGCGCGAAGGCACCTACCTTCTCCTCGCAGCGCAGGCCCGGAAAAGCCAAACCCGACAAACCGGAGCCCTACGGCTGCTGAGTGCCAAAACCTGCGATCTTGGCCTGAACAAGGGAAACTCAGCCTTACAGCTGCAACGGTGATTATCCGGCTGAAGTCCTGCATGCCCTATGACCGACAACACCGACAGCCCAAATCGCATGCGAAGAGTGGCCTCAACTTTAGCCATCATCGCAGCCTCAGATTCGTCTGACCCCTGGCTTCGGTCGATGTAAGCTTCGAAACTCACAACATGCGGTCTACACAGGGTGTGCACAGGTCTGGAGCTGATGAAATTCTGTTGCAGTGCATACCAGGTGTGTAAATTTGGCTGAGCAAGGGGGTCATACAGAGCCGATCTGGTGTCCTCCCCCACCTGGGTCCCTGGCCCCCTGGGCGTCCCCCACTTGGCTCGTAGCTCGGGGCTCTCGGCTCTCGGGCCCACATCCGGCCTGAGGCGCAAGGTGAGTGAAGGTTCGGGGTTGCAGGCTGAGTCGGTCAGCAGTGTAGGCGCTGTAGGCTTTTCAATGCATGCCCAGGACACAGCGCCCAGCCCTCAACTCTTGCAACCCTCAGGCCCCAATACTATGGCCTCAGTCCGTGGAAGTGACCACAAAGCTTATGCACAGCCATGTCGTCGGAAAATTGATTCAGCTGCTGGGCACGGGCTCACAAGATCATGAGCCTTCATGCCTGCTGTCTCGGGTGGCCTCTGGGTTCTACTTTGCTTTGGTCCGAAGCCACAGCTCCATGGACAGACGGTGGATGGACAAACTCCTGCATGACCCCTACGTGACAAGTACGTGACTGTTAGCAATCGAGGTGATGCAGGGTTTCGGTCATGAGCTTTGTAGGGAGGGCTATGTTAAGCTTCAGGGTTTGGGAGGGATGACTGGTCCATGCAGGATTTCGTCCAGTTGGTTTTCTGTTTTCTGCCCAAACACAATACAGCTTTAGCTGGAAGTTTCGGCCTTTTTTGAAAACGAGGGAACGACTTCCTTCTTTTCGCAGCGCTGTAAGCTTGTCATCCCCACACTTCAGCACGAGTACAAGCTATTGGGTTCTGCATTCTGCGCATGCGGCACTACTCTCAATGTTGTCGCTCGTTGGTCTCCATGTGTGAAGCGAGCAGACCGGATGTGGCGATGCCCGTCGGGGAGTGTCGGACTCATCTGTCTCGCAGTTCTCCCCCTGCTGTGTAGTGAGCGGACCCTGGATGCTGCGACGCTCGTCTGGGGTGGCTGGATTCATCTGTCTCCCGATTGTCTTCCTGTTGTGAAGTGAGCAGACCATGGATGCTGTCACTCCCGTCTGGGAGTGTCGGACTCATCCGTTTCCCAATTGTATCTCGTTGTGAAGCTAGCAAACCTTGGATGCTGCGACGCTTCGCTGGGGCTGGAGTGAGCAGACGCTGGATGCTGCGATGCTCATCTCTCCTTTTGTCTCCATTTGTGAGTGAGCAGGCCGGGCATACTATAACCCCCATCTGGGAGTGTCGAATTCATCTGACTCCAACCTGTGCTGGCGTGTGGGGTGTCTTTGACGTTGCGGGGAAAATGCTCCGGAAAAGCCACTTTTCTCGAAAAGCCACTTTTTGCGAAAAGTAACTTTTCTCGCGGCATTGCGCGCGCCGCATCCCTGAAGAGCCACTTTTCTCGAAGAGCCATCTTTCTCGAAAAGCCACTTTTCTCGAAAAGCCACTTTTCTCGAAAAGTGACTGTTCTCGCGGCGTTTGCGCGCGCCGCGTCCCTGAAATGCCACCTTTCTCGAAAAGCCACTTTTCTCGAAAAGCCACTTTTCTCGAAAAGTGACTTTTCTCGCGGCGTTGGCGCGCGTCGCGTCCCTGAAAAGCCACTTTTCTCGAAAAGCCACTTTTTGCGAAAAGTAACTTTTCTCGCGGCGTTTGCGCGCGCCGCGTCCCTGAAAAGCCACTTTTCTCGAAAAACCTGGAAGACGCACCGTGTGACAGCTTAGAACTTGCCTCCCAGATGTCTCCCTTTGGGAAGTGAGCAGACCCTTGGTGCTGAGATGCCCGTCGGGAACTGTTGTCATCTGTCTCCAATTTGTCTGCCTTTGCGACGCAAGCAGACTGCTGCTGCTGCTGCTGCTGCTGCTGCTGCTGCTGCTGCTGCTGCTGCTGCTGCTGCTGCTGCTGCTGCTGCTGCTGCTGCTGCTGCTGCTGCTGCTGCTGCTGCTGCTGCTGCTGCTGCTGCTGCTGCTGCTGCTGCTGCTGCTGCTGCTGCTGCTGCTGCTGCTGCTGCTGCTGCTGCTGCTGCTGCTGCTGCTGCTGCTGCTGCTGCTGCTGCTGCTGCTCCCGTTCTCGTTAATGGCAGGCTTTTCCTGCGCTATCGGCGCCCGCCATCGATCCGGTACGCATGGACTGGTGGTAAACTACACTTGTCTGTCTCTCAAGCAGTGTGGACTGGCAACGCTACATTTTGTCACAGGCATGCAAAGTGAAGTGCTCACCATGCAAGGCTACGGTTGTTTGCTGCGCTGTATCACTGTATCTCAAGCAGACCCAGGTCTTGCAAGGGCGGCTGTGACCACGGCTCGCTCGCTCTCGCTCTCTCACTCACTCTCACGCACTCTCCCTCTCTCTCTCACACTTTCTCTCTCTACTGGGTGCTCCACTCGAAAACGGGATCAACCGATGCCTGGGCACATAGGTCATCCGAAAGTAGCCGAGAGGAACATCTGTGGGATGGGCAGTAATTAGCAGATGTGTGCGACATCACACTGCCATCAAGACGATGCAACAACACATATCCTGATGATTGATGGAGTCCAAGTGCCACTCGCACAAGCACAACAGCTGCAAGTTTAATTTCATACTTAGGAAAAATATGTTGTGTTTGCAGAAAAGAGGTGATCTAGAGTCTAAACTGGCTCGTGCGGAATCTGCAGGGCTCTCGGTGTTAACATGCTGTCGAGTCGTGGTGCTGCACGTTGTAAACTTGGGCCAATGCAACGTTCTTCAGGCTTACAAGGCACGTGTGGCAATGATGCTCTCCACAAGAAATTCGCAACTGCAACTGGGTGTCGTGAAAGACACTGTTGCTATTCGGTACATAAAGGAAGGATCGCGTTTTGTGTCCCTGCATCCTGAATGCCTGAACCTCGCGTGCGGATGCCTCGAAAATGCCTGTCAAAATTGACATGTCTGATGCATGCGCAAATGAACAAAGGAGCTGAAATCCTGCTGATGAACAAACTACTCCGCTTGGTTCATTTAGCTGGAATGTGCTCCCATTCGACAGGAGAGGATCCAAAGGGTCGGCTGAAAAATCAGGTCTGGCACAGACGCATACGGACACCCTTGAACAAAGGGTGTCTTTGATGCCGCTTAGCCTTCCGCCCGCACCCAGTGTGGAAGCAAGTCGACGCAAGGCTTGCAAGCAATTGGTTGAGTTAACACAGACGCAAATCAATGTAAGCCATGGGCATGGCGTATAGCTTGCCCTGATTGAAGGCATCCTTCTCCCCACCCTAGCCATCCTAGGCCATCCTAGGCCCCCAGCCGCGCCCCTGCTGCCCTGGATGTGTTCGAAGTTTCCACCGTCATCCCGGGATCCGCCTAAGTTGATTCAGATCGCCAAGAGGCATGACGTCTGCACAGAGCCGTGGCCAATGGCATGGATCAAGACGGATATCGGATAACCACAGCCCTCCGCCCTCCGCCCCACCTCTCCCCCCTGGGCGGGCAGCATCCATGAGAACCAACCCTGAATCGCAAGCCCTATGCGCTTGTCAGCTGAGGTCTTGCCACAGGCCCCCGGGCCCGTGAAGGACACCAACTCTCGCGCTGCCGGAGGATCCAAGGGGCTCCGGCCAAGAAGACGTCGGAGTGCCGAGAATTGCACAAGGCTTGGGAGTTTCTGAGGGTGGTGGTGAGGCTTGGCCTTGGGATCCTTTTTGTTAATCGTAGCGGTGGCCCTGGACCTTTCCTATCGCCAAGTGGAACTACTGCGACGCGTGGCGGAGCGGTAGAGAGGTATCAGAGTTTAAGGTTTAGCGCGACTCAAGATCTGAACCTCTATAGGCCCATGATGGGCCAGGCACGTAGGGCTCAGGCATTTAGGGCCACTCACAGCCTGACATTTTCATGTACCGCGAGGCTGAATGCTGGAGTCGTATACTACGGCCCGGCACTCACATGAATTGCGCAAAGCTCTGAAAGGCCAGGTACAAAGGATCCATCTTCCGAAGACAGCTTGGAACACATACCCATCCTAGACACCAGAGCAGTGGACCCACCGTGTCCCAAAGGCAGTAGAACATGACAGCAGCCATCTCTCTGAGCTGTTCGATTGTATCCAGCCTTCTCGCTCCGCGACCGGTGCCATCCCCTTTCCCTCAGGGTTATATGTCAGGGCATCTTGCGCTGATCTTCCATGATGCATGTTTCACATGCACCCCTGCGGGCACTACATGTCCCACATTAACAGACTGGGCTGAGCTCGCTTCACGAGATCCGCCGGCTCAAGTTGGAGTCTTCTCCAAGCTTCGCTCCCCTGAGTGCACGTCGGGGAGTGACCAGTCTACACGCAGCTCCAAAACCTTTTTTGGAACCCCTTCCCCTCGAGAATACATTTAAATACCTGGGGAAGAGGCAGGAAGCAGAAATGTATGTTGCAGGGGTCTGAGATGCTCTTTGTTTAGGATTGGGCTCGGAATGGTGGTCTGGAAAACTGTTTTCTGCAAAAAAAAGAAAAAAGACCTGGTATTCTCTGGGCATCCCTTCCGGGACAGCCAGAAACTGCGAGAATGTATGGAGGGAGGAGGGGAAAAGACTCTGCAATACTCCTTCCGGGTGTAGACATGAATAGGACCAAAGAAGCAAATCGCACACAACGGAACTGACATCTGACGCGAAGCTGGGTCCGTCGCTCACGAGTTCTGCGGACTCAGACTCAGAGTCTCCTGCGCCGAGCAGATCGAACATCGTGTTGGAACGAAGTTATTGGAACGAAGTTCGAGGCACAGAAAAATACCGGGCCATCCGACGCCGAGCGAGATCCACATCTGATGCATCTACCTTCATGCAGGGCAGCTCCAAGCTCCCCACCTCTTCCTCCCGAGTCGTCTGCTGCCTTGGCAGCTGTAGTTTCAGCTCAAACTCCGAAGCGGCTGCCGTGGTGCTCCAGCAGACACAAAAACACCAGCAGCAAGCAACATTAAAAATCGAGGGGCTGCATGTCGCGCAGAGCCGCGAGGCGCATCCAGCCACCGAGGACGCGGTCGCCACTCCCGGCGGTCCCACGGACGTCGCCAGCCTGGCGGAACGGACCAACATGCACAGCCCGCGCTCGAACTCTGCCGAGAACGGAGACTCAAGTTAACAATGGTCCTCGGCTCCGCCCATCTTCAGGCGCGCGATCTCGGCCTTGGCAGCCGCGAGCTCCTGCAACAGCTTGAGGCTGCAAACTTCCCCTTCCTAAACTACTTATTAAATGAGTCAGCAAAACCCAAGTGAGCAGAACACGCCCTGAGACTCTCCTTTCAGGCCTATTATCGAGCAGATGGTCGTTCACTGACCTAGTTCTCGGGCTCTGGTCCTCGGCTGCGCCCTGCATCAGGCGCTTACTCTCAGCTTTCGTGGCCGCGAGCTCCTGCAAGGACCCAGCTTTTGAAGCGTTTTGAATTTCGCTGCAGTCCACCACCCAAACAGGAAAAGTGAAGCCTTGCATCCCCACGGGAAAGTCAAACCCCCCACCTCCGCTTGTTGCTGAATCCTTGCTCGCGCAGCCACGACCTGGCTCCAGGATTGCCAGGGCTGCCAGGGGCTCAGCGAGTCAGGGAGTGCCAGGTTCGAGGGTTTCGGAGTCTCTCTCTCGCAACCTGACTGCGGTGGGCGACGCGGGAGCCCCGAAGCTTGGCGGCGGGGCCTGACTGGGTGTAGACCGCAGCTAGATCCCTTGTGAGCGGAGCCATCCAGCCCGAGCCCCCCAACATGCGCCTGGTGTCCCTGGGCCTGGAGGCAAATCGAGGCCCAGGCACCTTGCGAGCGCACGTGAAACATTGCCACCACGAGGCTGCAACATGGCGCAACACAGCCACCCCCAACACGAAGGCCTATAGCGCAGAAGATCCACGACCCGCTGCAGGCCAGAGAGGACTTCGTCAGCTTCTAGTGCTCTGACCTGCCCATGCTGGTAAGCACGCAGGCCAAAGCACAGCCCCGGAGCTGTGGCCGATGTCCGGACTTTGAAAAAACTCGGCAGCGAACTTGACTTCTGAGCGGTCCTCCAAGAGGCCAGCTGGCGACAGAGACGCGATGTTGTCGATCCTCTTCGGGAGCCACGACGCCTCACCACGGCACTCCTGGTCCCTACCCCGAAACGAACAAACCATGTTCTGATCGCCCTCACTGCCCCTTGCACATGACAGCCAAGATGCTACTACATGCTGCCGTGCCACGTCGCAGATGTTGGTCGGGCCTGTTCGTCGGAGCAGCGGGCCAATCGCCTGCCGAGCAGTGCCTTATCAAGATCCTACGGAGCTCTTGACTGCTGGCCTCCTCAGGGAAGTTCAGGTCGCCGGCCAACAGAGTGGGGACGGAGCAGCAATCCTCTTTGACGAGGCCGGCGAGGCAGTCGCAGAACTCCCGCCGCGCGGGCCCGTTGGGCCGGCCCGGGAGGTGCCTAAAGCCCTAGCAGAACCCAACCAAGGCTTGCAAAGGAAACGCTAGCGTTCCACAGACACGAAATGTCAATGGCAAGCTGCGTGGTGATGACCCGGAACTGGCCATCATCGCCCGCTTCTCCCAGCCAGCGAAAAAGAGCCACGGCAACAACCTGGATGATTGTATAGCGTTACAGCACGTTACAGCAATCACCTACCTTCTTCTTCCGTGGGGGGTGGGTTGGGATGCTGACCCGTCGCCTGAAAACGCAGGATCTATCAAGCCTGAGTATGAACTTTATCAGAACCTGGCTGAGGGGGCCTCCCCGCCCCCCTTTCCCCCGTTGTCCAACAGACCTGCCCCAAGCTGGGCCTGAAATATTTCAAAGACCTCATGCCCCCACCGCAATTTTTAAACCAAGGACTCTGCAGAATGATGCAGAATGCACATGCTGATTCAGCTTCTTCACCCAGTCATGCAAAAGGTCCGCCTTCTTCGGGTCCGACGCGTATGGGCAGCACCGGAAGTCACGGAGCTCGAGCAAACTCTTATCGAAGATGATTGCCTGTGCCACACGCACATTGGCCACAATTGTTCACGCTCCGCTCTCAGGATCTCTTGTAGTTCCTACTTTGGTGCAAGGAAAAGAACACCGCTATCGCACAGGCAGAGAAAAGGCATCGACCATGATCGAAACCCAATCATTCAATCGCACGCTCTTCCCAGCCTCCTGGTTCTTCTGGCTCCTGTCTGCACTTGTGCATTGCATGTCAAAGCCCACCGCAAGCAGCTCCTTCTCGAGCAGATTCTGGTGGGGGATGGCGGTTGGGGGTGGGGAATAGCATGGTGACCCCCCTGGAGAATCTACCTCCGAAGGGAAAGGGTTTCAGATACCTCCAAGCCTTTAATCTAGATTGTTTCAATCGCAGTGCTTTAGGAGTCACAGCATTTGGATTTGCATAGGTGACTTTCTCATTACTCTTAAAAAGAACCCGCGTGGCTTAGGAGTCACAGCAGTAGTATTTTTCGGTATTCTTTTTTCCTGCTATGTTATTCGCATTTATTCACTTTATAGATGAGTTCGTACTTCATGTCTTGGTTGGCTCCTTCTCCAGCAGGTCGAGCAGCTCGGACCAGCACTCCTGGAGGCAGAGGACGGCTTTCGGATGCGACTCGTGGCACAGCATCTCCATGACGGCGTCCACGATCTCCTGTGCCCTCTGCTCGGCACTTATCTGCTGCAAGCGGGAGCCCTTGAGACCCTGCAAGTCTTCATTGATGAACTTCATGTAGTGCCTGTTTAGGACGTTCCATGAGCACACGCTGAGGCTCTTGCTCGGCAACTCCTGACCACTTCTGGCTTTCATCTTCATGGCCACCTGAGCCCCGACGGGCGGATGGTCTGAGGGAAAGTCCCACAGCGCGCGGAGGGGCTCGACGATGGGGTGCTTGAAGTTCTGCGAGCTGCCAAGCCAGTTGACCACTGCAAGCTCCACGCAGCCCTCCAGCACATCATGGACTTGCTCCAATACAGCTTCCCACACGCTCGCCGGCAAGCTCGTGACATCCTGTGAACCCTCCCGGAACTGCTGAAGTCTCGTCAGGACATCCTCGATGCATGCGCTACCATCCATTGCCGCCTCCCGTCCGGGCCCTTCCAGCTTGAGCTGCACCTGGAGCCTTCTCAAGCTTTCACCTGGGTGCCACATGGCACGCACCGCGAGCAATCTAGCTTCCGTGTCTGAAGAGTTCCTATAGAATGCAGGTCTGAGGCAGCGGCTCAGAAATGGAATGTCGTTCAGGGCTTCTGTCTGCAAGCTTGTCCTCAGGGGCACTGAAAGAACAGCAACGCTCAGATTTTGCACTTTCCCAAAAGCCGAACCTGGCCTGGCCTCGACAGCATGTCCCGGAGGGTCTCCGCATGCGCCGCGACCTGCGCCAGCTGCGCCGGCCATCCTCCGAAGATCGGCTTCAGGGCCTGGAGCACGGCCAGGTGCTTCTCGCCGTCGATGGACCGCTGGGCCAAGTACGCGCTGTGCTCCCACAGGCGTTTCGCCTAAAATCCCGCACTCCAACGTCACATTTGAAACTTCAACCCTACCTGATGAATTGCTTGGCAGCGTGCCTTGAGGCTTGGGAGATACAAATAATCAGATAATCTAGACGTTGGGACATTCAGCCCTGTTCAGGCTTTCAGACATCATCGTGGGCACTGTGCAGGAGAGCTGCGAGCTTCATGGCTTTGGGATGCGGGCCCGAGTACTCACGCATGCCCTTCTCCACCACATGAAGGAAGTCAACCTCGGGAGTCACCGGGTGAACCAAGCTGTTGCCGGGATCGTAGCCGCAGCGGATGACGTTCGTGAGCTCATAGAAGCGCGGCGCATCTTCCATGCTCCTCTCGAGAAGCCCGCACTTGACGTAAAAGTCGATCTTGGCCGTCCGTCCCCCCTGCTGCTGCAAGGCATCCTCCAGCTTCACTGGCTCCGCACTCTGAAGGCACCTCTTCTCTCCTGCCATCACTTCCTTCACGGACCAGCTCAGAGACTCGCCTGGCTTCGCCGGATTCTTGCCGGCCTTTAGCGCAACCACATGCAGAGTCGTCTGAGAGCTGGCCGTGGAAGCTGCTTTGCACAGGTCTTGGAGCAGCTTCATCAATTCTCTGATGGCGGCTCCCGCGGCTCCCTTCGGTGTCTCCCCCATCTCCTTCAGATCCGTAGCCTGCATGCTTACCGTGCTCACCACGACATACTCCTCAAGGTCCACGTCGCAGGGGTGGAGCACCTGCTGGAACCGGAAGCTGCCAGCAGGACGTGTCAGCCTCTGAAGGGAGGAGCGATCGATGGCGTCCCGCAGGCCTTGACTGAAGTCGCCGTCGAAGCGCTCTTCCAGTAACTCGGCCAGCTTGCAATGGGCGCAGGTGGCGTTGCAGTCGGCTTGGAGGCAAGGCGTGCGTCTGACGAAGCCCTCGACGTCCTTGATGCGGTCGCAATCGACGCCTCGAAACACGGGGTGCTGCGTCAGGGCCTCGGTCCCGAGCACGTGCACCGACTTGCTGCTCAGGCCCATGGCTCTGCAAAGGTCCTCCACAATGTCCCGGACTGTAATGTCCGCCTGGAGCTCCTCGGCTGAACGGGCGCCTGCCTGCGTGACCGCCAGACGGAGGAGCTTGTGCTGAATGCGGGGGGTGGTCGGGAAGAGCGAGATGCTGACCAAGGCATCCTTGTCTGTGCGGAACTCCATGCGGTTCCGGAAGATTTGGGGTGCCCCGGGCCTCAGTGTAGTCTGCCCTTCTGAGCTGTTGCGATTGCAAGCAGCCGCAGCTCTCAGCCTGCAGAGTCGTCCAGCAATCTCGGGGAACAGGTTCGACGAGATGAAGCCAGCGACATCCAGGTAGAAGATCTTGCTCTCAGCAGCGCGAGGTTCCGGAATCAAGGCCGTAGGCAAACAGCACGGCACCGTAAACTCGTCTTGGACAAGCCTTCTCAGAACGAGGCCTCGCGACACCATGATCTCCAGCATGACCTTCCTCTCCAGATCGGTGATGCCTTCCCTGGCCCACAGCTTCTTGAGGAGATCCCAAGTGATGATGCCGCTTGTCTTGAAGCGATACACCGCCTGGGTCATGCTCCTGCTGACGTCATCGATCGTGTTCTTGTACTCCTCCGCGTGTTCGAGGCCACTCTCTTCCCAGAATCGCAAGCTCATGATGGAGGAGAGCGCCACTGCCACCCTCCTGATGTTCAACACCACGCATCTCCCCAACTCATCTGTGTCGAACCAGAACAGCGTCCCCAAGGAGTGTAGAAGGCGCAGCACCCGGGGCACCTCCTCTTTGGAAATGCCGATTGGCCTCATGCCACCAAGTAACGCTTCGACTTGCTCGAGTCGCAGCGAGTGGCACTGCACCCGAACAACAATCATCAGCCCATCCTCATCATCATGATGCCCGCTCTTCCAGCTCACATGGGCGGACTCCGGGGCCACGAAGCGGTGCCCGAGCACAGCATGGGTCCCTTGCAGGTCCTTTGACAGCACAGCCGACCCCTCTACGCCGACTTGGCGCGGATGCGAAAGGCTGGCGTCAAGGTCATTCGGGTCGACCTTGAGATCGAAGGACTCGCCCAGCTCGGAAAGCAGGTCGTGCGCAAGCAACCACGCTGCTGGATGTAGCTCTGCCTGCAGTCCGACATGCGCTGGCGTGGCAGAACCTGCCGGCGCCGTTCTTTCCCATTCTGGAATGGGCGAGAGGACTTCGCTTGCGAGCCGCTGGAGACTGCTTCGCAAGGGCCCGATGTCTGCTTCTGCATTCTCGGAGAAGTTCTCCACCGGATGCAGCCATCCCAGGTTGTCCCCGACTCGCTGAAGTTGGCGGCTCAGGCGGGGCAGCTGCTGAAGCAAGAGGTCGATGCGCTCCTCCATCTTCTCTTCGTCGAAGTCTGGATGCCGACTGGCCCACTTGGTGCCGACGATCACGACTGGGGGGGCCGACTCAGAGCTCTGCGAGGATTTTGAGGCCAAGCCACCGTAGCCATCGTCAGCGTCCACCGCATACTGGGCCACCGCCCACAACCAGAACTTTAGATCCTGCCACGCCTCCTCCAAGCCACAGCTCGTGTCGCAGAAGACCACGTAGATGCCGCGGCCGTGGAAGTAGAGCAGGTTGCAGAGGACGTAGGCCTGCTGGCCGGGGAAGTCCCAGCACTGGAGTCTGGGCCGCAGCGCGGGATCTGCATCTTCGCCTTCTCCTCTGGACTGCAAGGCCAGGTCGTCCAGTATCCGCGGTCCCACGGTCTCAGGCGCCTCCTCCTTCAACTCGGCATCGCGCTGACTTGTCTTGGCCGTAGCGCCTGCGGGCGCATCCGCGGGCTCGGACTCTTTCGGAGGCATCTCTGGGGACTGTGGGGCTGGCTGCCTTTCGACCAGCGCCTCTTGCTTGTCCGTGGAGCTTGCCGCGGCGCTCCTCCTCCTCAGCTCACGACGGGCAGTCTCATCGTACATTCGCGCATCGCACTCCTTCCACTTATGCGAGAGATGCTCTTGGGCCTGTCCGGCCCAGACGTGCACACCGTGTGTGGAGACTTCCTCGTGACTTGGCTGCTCGCCCCTCAGCCGCCTTGGCACAAGGCCCGGGGCATGGTAGACAGATGATCTCTACCACATCAGCGACTACAGACTCTGACTATGTGGCTGGACTGGTGACTAGTGAACTAATTGCCAGACGAGGTCTTTGCTAAGAAGCTCGAAAAGTAACACTCCGCCCGCATCACCTGCCTCATGGTGGTGGTCTTTCCGGCGCGACCCCGGCCGACGAAGCAAAGGCGGACCACCGGCAGCGGCGCCCTGCCCCATTTCTGCCACTTCTCCAGCTGTTGGCGACCTTACCGCGTGTGCAGGCAGTGGCTTGTCCGAGCACAAGCCCTTCGTGATACATGGCCCACCAAATTATGCTACACACAGTTGAAAGCTCTCACAAACGGCCTTCCACCTCCAATTTGTTTGCCCACTCTCACACTCTTCAAATATACCTAGGATGTTCTCGGTTCATGGAATGGGTGAGATGAAATCGCAGGTTCTCTATAGAGGTTAACTTGCAAGCACGATTCCTAATCACCTGCTGGAAACCACAAATGTCATCACTTTGTCAACACAATATTTAAGCTGAAACGCCCCCTTTGTCATGCGCCCAGTTCTTATCTGGACTTACTGAGGAACGATTAGAAAATGAATCGGCGCCTCGAATCCAATCCCGAGTCAGTCAAATAGCTTCTAGAGCTAGTTTATCTTAGATAGGCCGTCAGTACCGTGCTCCTCATACACCATACCTAGACGGCTCCAAAACGTAAAAAAGCATCATCAGGCGTTGATCAACATGAGTGCCAGCTTCTGTACACGGTCTTCGTTTAAGCGCAGAATCTGCACATGAAAACTCACACCCTGATTCGAAGCCCACAAACTACTGCAAATCTTCAGCCGAGTTTCTCTGCTCCGTGTGGGCAGCCTGTAGCCAAGCACACGAAACTGGTTTGTAGCTGCCTCAAAGATCTATTTCAAGGGCGGCCTCCAAAACTCACATGCCTCAACATCCGGCTGCGCACGAATTTGCTTACCCAATTCAACACTCAATTTTGGGGTCTCCAGCTCACTCACCTGCTTTTTTCCGTGCCCCATACAGACAATTTTGCTTTTCTTGATGGAGCGCCCGGGGTTCACCTGGCGCCTGCACTTGGCTCTGTTTCCCCAACCCCCCGTGTGGGCCGCACAACCTCACGGAACAAACGCGCGCAACCTGCAGTCTCAACCTGATGGCAACCATGGCAACAAACCACCATTTTCCGGTCTGAACGCAGGATGTCGGGTGTTTTTCAACGAGGCATTTTGCAATAACCTCTGCTGATGGATACGGAAGATGCGCACATTTTGCCACGGCTCCATGCTTTTGCGATGCATGGTACAGCGCTCCCAAAGGAGTGGCATTTGGAACCAAGAGAGACGGAGTTGGTGATGCCAAAGTACAACCCACACTTGGCAGGGATAAGATCAGGGATGTAGTCCTGGGCCCTCTGCGACTCGGCTTGAGCCCAGAGCCCATTGCGCAATTTGTAATTTCAGTGCTTTCTTTTGACTTCCCACCATGATGCCCCCCACGACCCATGACACATGCCTCATGCCAAACAGATCCACCCTCTGCATTCGGGCTGATTCCTGTCGATGATCTTGAAGGGCAGGCCATAGTCACCATAGTCATATGACCACAAACTTGAAACATCTTGAAGCCCGGCAGGATCCCATCCAAATGTAGTGGCCAGACGGTGAGGCCACACAGCTATGGTATGGTACAGTTTCCGACAGACCGAATTGCTTCCCGACCCGCGGTTGCCCGACACGTGCTGCGGGCTCGACACTGGTTTCAGACACGTCTGGCTCTGGTATCCAGATGCGCGAAGCATGACAGACAGAAAAAGGTGTTCAACAAGGGCCCGCCTGATTCCTCTTGCAGGCCTCTTCTATGTCGGCTAGAGCCTGGCAAGGGACGATGGTACGGGATTCTGGGACCTAGGGTTTTTCCGGCAGGGCTCTCACTTACTGCGGTAAGCGATCTGTTATCTGGTCACAAGTCTGGAAAACTGGTGTGGGAGTCATACGCGGATGGCATATTTCCTGTGGGGCCACCCCTCTATTTGCCACCTTTCGTCCTCAGCGCTAAGTGTTAGACGAAAGGCGTCGCATTCGCGGGGTCGGCAAAAAAGTGCTCGGGGCTGGGGCTTTTGGGCTCCGGACCCGGCCTTGGACTTTTCGCGTTGAAGGCTTGGGGGGATTTAACTTCGGAGCACTCCGTAGCACTCCGGGCCTTGGCTCCCTCATCACCGATCGAGTTGACAAAGAGGTCGATACTGGTGACGCTGCCGTTCGTCTTGAGGGCCTCGGCTAAGGCCTGCGGCGAGGGGACGCAGCTGGGGAGCACTCAGGGCCTCCTTTAGGCTTGGGCCTGGCCAGGGGGAGGGCTTTTGGCTCCGGGGATTTTCGCGTCAAAGGCTTGGATGTGGCAAAGTACCCCTGTAGGAAAGAGTGTGTCACTTTCAGGGCAGGGCAGTTTCAAATGGGATTCCTGGCAGAATTCCGGGCCCTGATTTCACTTCAGGCCTCGATGTGGAAGAATGTGCGATCTCAGGCTTATGCATGAGACGAACCGTGACATCGCGACGACGCAACTTGCCAATCAACAGGCTCAATTTCGCGTAGTTCTGTTCTGAAACATGATGATCTTCAAGGCTGCTCAGCCTTCCTTCACATGCTTTGTAGCTTTGCGCCAGCTTTGCGCACCATGGCCTTGGGGCGCGTTCCGCGAGGCCATCGCTTCCGCTACGTCAGTTCCTGGCGATGCCTTCTAAGAAGTGTGATTGTTCCTAGAGTTGTACATACGGTTGTCATCGAAGTCCCTAGACTGCGCCATCCCGTGCAGCACCGTACTTTTCCTGCCACATTGCCTGCAAGTGGAGTATGTGGGCGGAGGGGCGAGGTGGTCCCGCGAAATATGCAGGACTATTTCCATGGACCACAGTGCTTCTGGTCAGAACCCACAGACGATGATTCCATCGCTAAACAAAATTTGCGAGCCCAGAAATGCCCCGTAAACCAGCAAACTCTCAACCCTAAACCATGAGCCTAAACCCTGAAGCCTAAACCCGAAGCCCTCCGACGCCGTCTGACATGTCTGAAAGGAAGTTGTGGAAAAAACGCTCGGGGTGGGGCTTTTGGGCCCCGGACCAGGCCTTGGGCTTTGCGAGTGCTTGGGGGGACGTAACTTCGGAGCACTCCGTAGCACTCCGGGCCTTGGCTCCCTCAGCACCGATCTGGTTGCGATTGAGGTCGATTGTGGAGACGGTGCCGTTCGTCTTGAGGGCCTCGGCTAAGGCCTGCGGCGAGGGGATGGTGCAGGTCCGCAGCTGGCGGCTTTGGGGGAGCACGCGGGGCCGCCTTTATATCGGCTTGGGGCTGGCCAGGGGCTGTTGTATGGGGCTTCCGGAACCCCCAGCTATTCCGGGGAGCGATCTGCTGCTGCAATCAGAATTCCAAATCTACGCCATGCCCTTGCTACATCTGGTCACAAACCTGAAAAAGAATTCTACACTCGAAGGCAATACGTCGTCTACGAAGATCAACTACAGTACGAAGTAGCAACGTTTCGCAGCACACATGAGAAGAAGGATTACAGCAACATGAAGGAGCAATACACCAACAAAACTGGTAAAGCGCAGCATTCTGGCCTGAATTCACTTCAGGCCTCGATGTGGAAGAATGTGCGATCTCAGGCTTATGCATGGGACAAATCGTGACTTCGCGAAGGCGCAACTTGCCAATCAACGGGCTCAATTTCGCGTAATTCTGTTCTGAAACATGATGGTCTTCAAGGCTGCTCAGCCTTCCTTCACACGCTTTCGGGTGCCACAACTAGCTTTGCACCAGCTTTGCGCACCAATGGCCTTGGGGCGCGTTCCGGGAGGCTATCGCTTCCGCTATGTCAGTTCCTGACGATGCCTTCTAAGAAGCGTGATTGTCCCTAGAGTTGTACATACGGTTGTCATCGAAGTCCCTCGACTACACCCTCCCGTAATATCCCGTACACCGTACTCTTTCTGCCATATTGACCATATTGCCTGCGAGTGGAGTATGTGGGCGGAGGGGCGAGGTGGTCCCGCGAAATATGCGGGACTATTTCCATGGACCACAGTGCTTCTGGTCAGAGTCAACAGACGATGATTCCATCGCTAAACAAAATGCGCGAGCCCAGAAAAAGCATCCCCTCAGGTTGTCAGGGGAGGGGCCTAGGGCGCCCATTTTAGACCCCTAACTGACTTCCCAGGGACTGGGCATAATCCGGGCAACCCATTTCAGACCTTTTGTTGGCTATAAAGACTGCATCTGCAACATGGCTAAGACAGCCGGGCCCGAAGAGCGCGACACCGACGTTCAAGGCTCTAGGTTAGGGGGGGGTCTGAAATGGCAAGCCGGGGTCTAAAATGCCTCTTTAAGACCCATTTCAGACCCCTGGTTCCCTGAAGGGTCACCATTTAAGACCCCCCGCAAACTGAGGGGATGAAAAAGCCCTGTAACCTGCAAGCTCTCAACCCTAAACCCGAAGCCCTCCGATGCCGTCTGACATGTCTGAACGGAAGTTGTGGACAAAAACGCTCGGGGCTTTGGGCTTTTGGGCCCCGGACCAGGCCTTGGGCCTTGTTCGAGTGCTTGGCGGGAATTTAACTTCGGAGCACTCCGTAGCACTCCGGGCCTTGGCTCCCTCAGCACCGATCTCGTTGCTAGAGGTCGATACGGGTGACGCTGCCGTTCGTCTTGAGGGCCTCGGCTAAGGCCTGCGGCGAGGGGATGGTGCAGGTCCGCAGCTGGCGGCTTTGGGGGAGCACGCGGGGCCGCCTTTATATCGGCTTGGGGCTGGCCAGGGGCTGTTGTATGGGGCTTCCGGACCCCCAGCTATTCCGGGGAGCGATCTGCTGCTGCAATCAGAATTCCAAATCTACGCCATGCCCTTGCTACATCTGGTCACAAACCTGAAAAAGAATTCTACACTCGAAGGCAATACGTCGTCTACGAAGATCAACTACAGTACGAAGTAGCAACGTTTAGCAGCACACATGAGAAGAAGGATTACAGCAACATGAAGGAGCAATACACCAACAAAACTGGTAAAGCGCAGCATTCTGGCCTGAATTCACTTCAGGCCTCGATGTGGAAGAATGTGCGATCTCAGGCTTATGCATGGGACAAATCGTGACTTCGCGAAGGCGCAACTTGCCAATCAACGGGCTCAATTTCGCGCAATTCTGCTCTGAAACATGATGGTCTTCAAGGCTGCTCAGCCTTCCTTCACACGCTTTCCGGGCGCCACAACTAGCTTTGCACCAGCTTTGCGCACCAATGGCCTTGGGGCGCGTTCCGGGAGGCCATCGCTTCCGCTATGTCAGTTCCTGACGATGCCTTCTAAGAAGCGTGATTGTTTTTTGAGTTGTACATACGGTTGTCATCGAAGTCCCTCGACTACACCCTCCCGTAATATCCCGTACACCGTACTCTTTCTGCCATATTGCCTGCGAGTGGAGTATGTGGGCGGAGGGGCGAGGTGGTCCCGCGAAATATGCGGGACTATTTCCATGGACCACAGTGCTTCTGGTCAGAGTCAACGATGATTCCATCGCTAAACAAAATGTGCGAGCCCAGAAAATCCCTGTAAACCTGCAAACTCTCAACCCTAAACCCTGAGCCTAAACCCTGAAGCCTAAACCCGAAGCCCTCCGACGCCGTCTGACATGTCTGAAGGCCCCGGACCAGGCCTTGGGCCTTGTTCGAGTGCTTGGCGGGAATTTAACTTCGGAGCACTCCGTAGCACTCCGGGCCTTGGCTCCCTCAGCACCGATCTGGTTGAAATTGAGGTAGATTGCGGAGACGCTGCCGTTCGTCTTGAGGGCCTCGGCTAAGGCCTGTGGCGAGGGGATGGTGCAGGTCCGCAGCTGGCGGCTTTGGGGGAGCACGCGGGGCCGCCTTTATATCGGCTTGGGGCTGGCCAGGGGCTGTTGTATGGGGCTTCCGGAACCCCCAGCTATTCCGGGGAGCGATCTGCTGCTGCAATCAGAATTCCAAATCTACGCCATGCCCTTGCTACATCTGGTCACAAACCTGAAAAAGAATTCTACACTCGAAGGCAATACGTCGTCTACGAAGATCAACTACAGTACGAAGTAGCAACGTTTAGCAGCACACATGAGAAGAAGGATTACAGCAACATGAAGGAGCAATACACCAACAAAACTGGTAAAGCGCAGCATTCTGGCCTGAATTCACTTCAGGCCTCGATGTGGAAGAATGTGCGATCTCAGGCTTATGCATGGGACAAATCGTGACTTCGCGAAGGCGCAACTTGCCAATCAACGGGCTCAATTTCGCGTAATTCTGTTCTGAAACATGATGGTCTTCAAGATCTTCAAGGCTGCTCAGCCTTCCTTCACACGCTTTCGGGTGCCACAACTAGCTTTGCACCAGCTTTGCGCACCATGGCCTTGGGGCGCGTTCCGGGAGGCTATCGCTTCCGCTATGTCAGTTCCTGACGATGCCTTCTAAGAAGCGTGATTGTCCCTAGAGTTGTACATACGGTTGTCATCGAAGTCCCTCGACTACACCCTCCCGTAATATCCCGTACACCGTACTCTTTCTGCCATATTGCCTGCGAGTGGAGTATGTGGGCGGAGGGGCGAGGTGGTCCCGCGAAATATGCGGGACTATTTCCATGGACCACAGTGCTTCTGGTCAGAGTCAACGATGATTCCATCGCTAAACAAAATGCGCGAGCCCAGAAAAAGCATCCCCTCAGGTTGTCAGGGGAGGGGCCTAGGGCGCCCATTTTAGACCCCTAACCCATTTCAGACCTTTTGTTGGCTATAAAGACTGCATCTGCAACATGGCTAAGACGACAGCCGGGCCCGAAGAGCGCGACACCGACGTTCAAGGCTCTAGGTTAGGTTAGGGGTCTGAAATGGCAAGCCGGGGTCTAAAATGCCTCTTTAAGACCCATTTCAGACCCCTGGTTCCCTGAAGGGTCACCATTTAAGACCCCCCGCAAACTGAGGGGATGAAAAAGCCCTGTAACCTGCAAGCTCTCAACCCTAAACCCGAAGCCCTCCGATGCCGTCTGACATGTCTGAACGGAAGTTGTGGACAAAAACGCTCGGGGCTTTGGGCTTTTGGGCCCCGGACCAGGCCTTGGGCCTTGTTCGAGTGCTTGGCGGGAATTTAACTTCGGAGCACTCCGTAGCACTCCGGGCCTTGGCTCCCTCAGCACCGATCTCGTTGCTATCGAGGTCGATTGGGTGACGCTGCCGTTCGTCTTGAGGGCCTCGGCTAAGGCCTGCGGCGAGGGGATGGTGCAGGTCCGCAGCTGGCGGCTTTGGGGGAGCACGCGGGGCCGCCTTTATATCGGCTTGGGGCTGGCCAGGGGCTGTTGTATGGGGCTTCCGGAACCCCCAGCTATTCCGGGGAGCGATCTGCTGCTGCAATCAGAATTCCAAATCTACGCCATGCCCTTGCTACATCTGGTCACAAACCTGAAAAAGAATTCTACACTCGAAGGCAATACGTCGTCTACGAAGATCAACTACAGTACGAAGTAGCAACGTTTAGCAGCACACATGAGAAGAAGGATTACAGCAACATGAAGGAGCAATACACCAACAAAACTGGTAAAGCGCAGCATTCTGGCCTGAATTCACTTCAGGCCTCGATGTGGAAGAATGTGCGATCTCAGGCTTATGCATGGGACAAATCGTGACTTCGCGAAGGCGCAACTTGCCAATCAACGGGCTCAATTTCGCGCAATTCTGCTCTGAAACATGATGGTCTTCAAGGCTGCTCAGCCTTCCTTCACACGCTTTCCGGGCGCCACAACTAGCTTTGCACCAGCTTTGCGCACCAATGGCCTTGGGGCGCGTTCCGGGAGGCCATCGCTTCCGCTATGTCAGTTCCTGACGATGCCTTCTAAGAAGCGTGATTGTTTTTTGAGTTGTACATACGGTTGTCATCGAAGTCCCTCGACTACACCCTCCCGTAATATCCCGTACACCGTACTCTTTCTGCCATATTGCCTGCGAGTGGAGTATGTGGGCGGAGGGGCGAGGTGGTCCCGCGAAATATGCGGGACTATTTCCATGGACCACAGTGCTTCTGGTCAGAGTCAACGATGATTCCATCGCTAAACAAAATGTGCGAGCCCAGAAAATCCCTGTAAACCTGCAAACTCTCAACCCTAAACCCTGAGCCTAAACCCTGAAGCCTAAACCCGAAGCCCTCCGACGCCGTCTGACATGTCTGAAGGCCCCGGACCAGGCCTTGGGCCTTGTTCGAGTGCTTGGCGGGAATTTAACTTCGGAGCACTCCGTAGCACTCCGGGCCTTGGCTCCCTCAGCACCGATCTGGTTGAAATTGAGGTAGATTGCGGAGACGCTGCCGTTCGTCTTGAGGGCCTCGGCTAAGGCCTGTGGCGAGGGGATGGTGCAGGTCCGCAGCTGGCGGCTTTGGGGGAGCACGCGGGGCCGCCTTTATATCGGCTTGGGGCTGGCCAGGGGCTGTTGTATGGGGCTTCCGGAACCCCCAGCTATTCCGGGGAGCGATCTGCT